GCCCCAGCTAAGTATGTAGCAGGGTGGACTGGCAGGCAGGAATGAGTGTGCCAACCTCTTAATCTAGGCCTTCTGGACAGGAGCACTGCCCAAGTAGGGAGGCTCCAGCCTTAGCACTTGTGAGCACTTGTGTTCTCTTTTCAGCCTGTGAAGTATCCATATTCTAGAAACACACTCCAACCAATTGCGTCTTCTCTAGAAAGAGCTGCTCTAGAAACCTCCATGCCATACATGCTTCAGTTCCTACCAGCTGAAGCTTTGCTTACTGATAGAGACCACTATGAAGAGGCTCTGAGCAGGATTTAAAATTAACTAATTGGATTTTTGTGTTTACCTGTGAGTCTGTTCTAGGCCTAGGCCCCTTGTCTGAAGGTGGGCAGCAAATTCATAGTAAGTGAACCTCTATGAATTACTGGTCCTGGTTGAGACCTGTAGTGGCCTAAACACCTCAAGTGCAAGAAACGCCTCAAAGGGCAAGAAAAGGCCACAACTGAGGACACAGGACTCCAACCCTGAATAACTAGAGACTGCAAGCTGCAGATATCTCACTCCTGCTGTCTCATTCCCACCATAAATGTCATTAAGGAAATAAAATAGTTCTCCCAAATTGGCATAATTTACTACTTGGAGAAGTCTTTCTATTGCTTGAAGTGACTCCCGAGGTCCTGCTCAGTTCTTGTGCTTTCCGCAGTATCCCATCTCTTTGTTTGAAGCCCTAATAAATATGGGCTACCCAGAGAAACTTTATCTCAGCCCCCAGAGTCTTGAACTCCACTAGAGGATTTTGATCCTCCTGGAGCCCTAAAATCTTGTCTCATTTACTTATTTAAGCCTCTTCTGTACATTTGTTTTGGAGATTGGGAATCTTGGCCAGGTCCCCAATAGTTCCCCACTGTGGCGTCTCCCCTTTTGCCATTTCCTCTGGGGACCCAATTGGCCCTCACCGTGGACAGAGGTCTCACAAGCCAGCAGGTGCTCAAACTGGGGGTTGAATTCCTGTTTACTGACTGGCATCGTTTACTGACAGGAGACAGTGAGCCATTTGAGGGCAGGGATGGTAATGCTACCATTTAGTCATCTCTGAGTCTCCATTGTGCTGACACACAGCAGGTGCCGGGTAAATGCTTACTGGAAGAAACAGATGGATGAATTTCCTGTTCTACAGATTCCTCCTCAAACTTTTTCTTTTGATACTTAATTTTATTAAACCAACTACTGTGTCTCACAAGATATCCTTCTAGTCTAATCCATCCCTGAAGGGAAAGTCCTTGGCCTCAGCAATGCTGATCAAGCTTCATTGATTGGGAACTGAACTTCAGCAAGGAACCAGGGAAGAAATAAAACAGAATTATTCCCTGTACGTCCCAGGGTCTGATTCCCCATGGTACTTTCTGGGAACTGTCTGGTAAGTGTTTTCTGTGGGTTTCTGAGCTACTCATAACTTTCTAGTAAATTCCATACTTGGTTTAGTTAAGGTCAGAGTTTGTTTCTGCTCCCAGAGGATCTTGACCAATATAATTATTTCCCTGTTATTTTTAAATATTCCAAAGAATATAAATTTTAAAATTCCTATCTGTGTTATAGTCATTGGTTTGGCTAATGTACGTGTGTGTGTGTGTGTGTGTGTGTGTGCGTGCGTGTGTGTATGTATGTGTTTTCCCAGTAATGGTAGTACTATTCCCTTTAGTCTTTTCTTCTTCCTGGTTGTAGTATTTTCCCCAAAGAAAATACTACAAAATACATTTGGAGAAAAGCAACAGAAGAAGGAATTTAGGATAAGACTTCAGAGGAAGCATACCTTGTTTCTGATACCCCAACACAATCTTTTCATAGGTCCATTTTTCTTCCATTGTGGTAGTGGGGACTGAACCCAGGGCTTTCATGTGGAGCTACATCCCTACTCCATTTAAATTTTTACTTTGAGACAAGGTCTCACTATGTCACTGGTCTACCTTGTCTCAAAATTTATTCATTTGTTCTTTCTTTAATTTATAACTCGTTCTTACTGTTGAAATGCTCTGACATATTGTCTAGGAGCAGCAATTGCAAGTGGGCTTCATCCTGCCACCCATCTTCAATTGACTGGGATGGGGAGCTTGAGTGTTGCACCCAGATTCAGTGGGGAAAGTATATCCTAATTAATTAGTGTGATGTGACCCCAGAAATTGGAAATCTGGATATATGGGCAGCATATTTGTCATTCCTAATATAAAACCCTGTAGTCTGTGGTTTTATTCTGAGATGGTTTCTGTTTATGCACATTCGCTGAAAGAGCTTGTTTCACATTTGAATTTCTTCATGTGTTAGGAAGTTTTTCCCTGGTGTTATGGTGCAGAGTGAGAGACTGGGCTTTGCTACTGACTAATGAGGTCATTCTGAGAGTGACAATCTCTTTTCACCTAAGAAGTGAGAAAATCTTCAACTGAGTAACCATTAAGTTTCCTTCCCAGGTTTAATATTCTATTATTTGAACAAGTCAATATCTACCTGTTAAAGCCATGGTCCACTGGCCCCAGTTACACAATCTGGGCTTGTGTGATACTCCTTCAAATATTTGAGGACCCACGCCTCTCTGAGTGTTTTGCTCCAAGCTAAACATGACCAGTTTCTTTACTTATTTTCTATAGGATAAGGCTTCTGTTTTTTTCACCATACTGGTTATTCTCTTCTGATTACTCAAGTTTTCCAGTGTCTCCCTGAAAGTATGACTCCCAGAAAAGGACCTCATGTAGTAGTACAGTGCGTCTAACCCCATGTACTCAGCCTCTCCTGCCAGTACCTAGAGCAAAGGAAGGCAGCCATTACATCTTCCCAAGAGCTGAGGACAGTTATATTTTGTAACTGATAGTCCCTTCCTTCAGACTACCTGCAGAACAGATGCAGATAGCTGTGGAATCAGTCTGGAAGGAGGCAGTGCTACCCTAAGAGATCAGTAAGTAACCAGAGCTGATTAAGAGAATAGGTAAGACTTCTTCATAAACATGGAAGGAAGATTTGCCAGAGATGCCATTAATGTGAATGGAGGTTTTCTTTTTCTCTCCCATGTCCTCTCCTTTCTCCTCATCTTCTACCTTGTCCCTCTTCTTCTTTTTAAAGCCCTGGTAATGCCCCTTCTCATTCTCTCCACTGTCATGTCATGTGACCCCTTTGTCTCAGTAGCTTTTGTGTTTGTCCTTTGCCCAGAAGAACAAGTACAAAGGCCATTGCTAAAGAAAATTAAAATGAAAGCAAGGGAAAGACGCAGACTTGGAAAGGGGTTGTGGTCTGACTATGAGCTGAATAGAAACAAGGATGTGAAGGTTATTTCAGGAGGAGCCTGACAGCTGGACTGATGGGGTTGGAGGGCTCTCTCTGCTACCCAAACCCCAAGAAAAGGTGCTCTGAAGACTTCTCGTGTGGTGTGGCCTCCGGCCATCTTCCTGTTCCCTTCCCTTTTTCTTCCTCTCTCTTTTGGACTCAGCCACCCTGGTCTCTTCTTTGTAAATACCAACAATGCTCCTAATTTTCACTTTCTGATCTTTCTGAAAGTGCAGCTCCTAGAATAGGACCCCAGCTAGTTCTGCAGTGTGACTAACCCCACATACTCAGCCCAGTACGACTATACAGGTGTCACCCACCAGCAACTGTTCAAATGTCACCTCTTCCCAGGGTAACACCTTCTCCAAGATGGATCCTTTCTTGCCAACCCATGTTCCTTAGTCCTTTACTCTGCTATATCTTTCTTAACAGAAACTATTACCATCTAAAGTATTTATTTATTTGTATGATCTAGAACACAGCCTCCATGAGGGCAAGGCTTTGCTTTGCGCCTGATTCCTCATTGCCTTAGTGTGTACCCAGCATATGCTGAGCCCTGTTTGTATTTGTGATGGTGCATCTTTTAAAACATAAACCTCAGTGCTTCTTAGCACAGAAATTGATCCCACAAAAGCACTTTATATTTCAGTGGAAGGTTAATAAGTCTACTAGTTGACAAGTGAATCACTGAGGATTGATGGCTTACTTGAGCAGTGTGATTGTTCAAAGACTACAACTCATCACAAAACCCCCATCTATGCAAGGTCACTAAGTGTCACCTTGTGCTGGGAGAACCATGGGTCCCCTCCATTTCAGAACATTTCTTCCCCGGGGATCAAGGGAAGAAAGATGGGGAGTGGTATTTCTCTGCGGAAATCATCATGACTCACTGTTAGATCTTCCTTTTTCACATTATTTTTAGGGACCTGCTGGCTTAGCATGAGTCACTGACCAAACGTGAAGAATGCCTCTAAAAGACAGGTGAGGGCAGCACGTGCTGTAGGTTATACATGGGCCTGTGTGTGCACCATGCAGGATTGAGAGGAAGTGACAGGAGAGGGGTGGGTGGAGAAAAAGGCTGAAGATTAGGCAGGTGACTAACAGTGCTCTGGCTCTGACCAAGCCAGGAAGGGTAAATCCAGGAACAATTAAATGGAGGAGTGGTGGTGTGAATCTGGAAACCAGCTGTGCTGAATTCCCCCAAAATGAACTGACTTCCTGGGCCCCTGGGAGGAAGGAGAGCATCCTAGTGCAGGACTGACTTTCCGAGGAGAGAAACTAAAGCCACCATGGGCGGATACACAAAACTTGCCCTTGTTTCTTTAGTGCGTCCTCTCTCTCTATTACCAAGATGAGTGAGTCCCCAGAATTAAGTCCAGTTTCATTTTAGTGGGAATAATCATGAATTTTATTAACTACTAATCCCTGAATGTGAATTTAGCTCATCAAGTTTTTTCCAGTGGCAATAAATAGTCCTGAGCTTTTCCAGATGGAGTCACTCAGTGGCAGACTGTATTTTCCAGATGTGGCCTCAATAACATTTTCCATCCCATGTGTCAAAGTGATACTGGCAGTCCTCCCTTGGGCAGCAGGATCTTTGTTGCTCCCTTTGAATTTGGGTGGATCTTCTGTACTTGCATCTGAAAGTCAATGTGGAAGCTTCTAAAATGACTTAGTATCCTTCCCCTCCATAATTTTCCTCCTTTTCCTGATTCTTCTCTCTTTAAGACTCAAGGATAAAGACTTCTCCTGAGCTCAGCTGTTTTTCTCGAAGTTGCACAAGAACTTCCTGTTGGCAAATTCAGTGTCTTTTCCTGGCCATCGTGTTAGAGAATGAAAAGAGACTCTCCCATGATTCTTTAAGACATGTGAGGCTCAGTGGAAATGGTGAAGATGTCTATTCATTGGTGGCTCTCATTCTGACCATGGATGTTGGTTGTCATTGGTTATCTGTAGCTGCAATTTGCCTTAGTGGGGCTATGAACCCAGGTGACCTGAACATTCTTCAGGCTGGAAAGAGAAACTTTTGTCTCCTGTCTCTCACCTACATCTATTGTGGACATTTAAAAAAAAATTTAATTTGTTTTAAAGATAGTAAAATCCAACAAAACAAGACAGAACAAAGCTAATCAAAACAATACAGCAAAATTGGTACAGAACTTCCAAGCAGGATACTAGGAAAACAACAATAGCTACTGTTAATATATCTTGTTATTTTCACAATAGTTGTCCGTTCCATCAGGTATAGCAAAATCAAACTAAAAACAAAACACAGTAAGCCCATCAAAACAGAATGCTGAATAAAGCAAAACATTTAATTAGAACAAAGCAAAACAGTGAAAACAATATTTGACTTCAAAGACAAGATAGAAGGAAATCCCCCATATTTGCTATATTACATACATTCATCCTCCTAAAAGATGCCCAGACCACTGGCCCCAGGCCTGCATAATCAACCAAACAGTACAAACATTTAGTTGCTTTAGTACCTTAGTTGCTAACAACTCAGTCTGTCCTCTGAGCCATCCATGCAGTTGCTTGGTGGGGTGGAGACTGGAGAGAGGAGAACACATTGACAGTGTTTGATTCTCAGCCTATGTGCTGGGAGGCTCATGGGACATGACATTTCTCTCCCTGGAACCCATGTGGCTTGTGTGGCTCACCAGAAAGGCTGGCTAGTTGAGTTTTTGGTTGGCCCCCCAAGTCCCAGCATGGCCAATTCTCCATGGACCTTTCTTACGATAACACCTTGATTGTTTGGAGCTGGGGAGGCAGTGGGTGGTTCAGTTTTCTTTCTAGTGCTAATGTCCACTGTCATTTTGAGTCCAGGATGCAGGCTAGAGGCAATCTTTTGGTGCAGTTGGGCAATACTTCATGTGTAGTGGTGGGTATTACAATCAATATCCCGGTGGATCCTGGAGAACTTCCAGTGTTCTTGAGGGAGCATTTTGTTAGGCTAATCTGACCAGCAGAGAGTAGCATGTGCAAAGAGAGGCATGGAAGCGTATGCTGGTGTTTTTGTCCTTCTAGTGTGACAGCTCTCCAGCATGTTCCTTGGAGGTGGAACAGGGGTCTCCTGGAAAGTATGAGAACCTTCGTGGTCTTTATGGACCAGCTATGTCCCAAGTCATCATGTGCCTGGACATGGAGGAGGTTCCTCAAGATCTGTCCTTCATGGCACATCCTACACAAGGGGGTTCTCTGTCTCTGGAGCCACTTCATCAGTATGGTCATTCTTCTTCTTTTTCCCTGGTAGGAAGATCACAAATGGAGATATCCTTTCAACAATGAAAATTATCCCTTCAGTGTCTGGAATTTGACATACTTGGCTTGGCCCTAGGCCTCTGAATCTTGTTGCCTCATACAAAATCACCTTGAGCAAAGGTATATTTCTCCTCATCTTCCAAAATCTTGGAAGAGAAGATTCTTTAAGAATAGGAAGTTTTTCCTAATGTCTAACCTCGTTCTGCACCTGTGCATACACTGAGATGCAGAAGGTATAGAAAGGCTGTGATGACCTGATTAGATGACCCAAAATCATGTAGCAGAGCTGGGAGGGGCAGCCTTTGCATCTTTGCATTTTTTACTGTCCCAAGTGGTTGGGTCCAAGCTGCCCTTTCCTGAACTTTGTGAACATTAGGCTAAGTGAAAGAAGGACCGTGCAGTTCCACTTACATCAAGTGTCCAGAACAGACAAATGAAACAGAGAGTACCTTGTGGTAGCCTAGGGCTGTGAGAGGACGGCGAATTGGGGAGGGGTAGCTATGAAGTTCAAGGGTTTCTTTTCGGAGTAAATGGAAGTTTTCTAAAATTGGTTTTGGTGAGGGATGTACAACTCTGTGGATATACTGAAAAAATCACTGAACTGGGCACTTTAAGTACAATATATGAATTATATCTCAAAAAGCAGCTCTTTTTCTAGTGTCTGTTTCTTACCACAAATCCCTTGAGTTCTTGGGAGCAAAGGGCCAGGGCCAGAGTCTCCCTAGCAGATAGGACCTCTGGGTGAGCACAGCAGCAACAGCTCACCTGTGCTTCTTGTCTTCAGGGAAGGCTGAACAGGACGAAGCACACCCCACTTCCCTCCCCCATACTTAGTGGCTGGGTCAAGACTTTGCCTCCTAGGACACCTGTGCTAAGATGAGGTCTCAGTGCTGGCCCTGTAACCAGCAAATTCAGCCTGCCTGGCAAGGAAGTAGCCACAAAGCCCAGAAAGTCAGGTGATTCTTGTGGGGATAGAGCATTCTGGAGTAAAGGCAGCGGAGAGTGCTAACCTGGACGTGGAGCTCAGAACCTGCTCTGACCTCTGAGTTTTCCCTTCCCTCCTCTGCTCAAGAAAGTTCCGTTTCAGCCACTGGCCAGGGAGGAGCTTCTCCCAGGGAGCCATTTCCTAGGAATTGTGGGCAGGAACATTGGGATTCACTCTGCAAATGTTTACCAACACCAGCTATGAACCAGGAACTGTAATGTGCTTGGAACAACTTGACGTGCTCTAGGGATACAGCCTTTGCTTTTAAAAGGGCTCATAATTAAGGTGAGGGAGGCATGTAGTTAGTTCTGTGATTGGGGCACATAGTGGAGAATCAAAGAAGGACATTAGCCAAGTGTTATAGTACATGCCTTAGATCCAAGAGCCCCAGAACTCTTGGAGGCCGAGGCAGGAGGACCACAAATTCGAGCTCAGCCTGGGAAATTTAGCAATTTAGTGAGATTTTGCCTCAAAGTAAAAAGGGCTAGGGATGTACCTCAGAGTGAAGGCCCTGGGTTTAATCAACAGCACTGAAAAAAATAACAACAACAACAACAACAAAAACCCACCTGAAGTTATGGTTTAGGGGAAGATTAGGGCAGGCTCCCTGGGGCACACTCCTTTTGAAAGTTGAGTAAGAGACACCCCAACAGGAAAGCGGAGGAGGGGAGCAAATCATGGAAATATATTCTAAGCAGAGGGAATAGAGTGCAGAGTCCTGAAGGAGTATGTAAGACAGTGGCTTATTTGGAGAACAGGGAAAGAAATGCCAAGCAGATCAGTCAGGTTGGAGAACAAAACATGAGATGGAAGAGCCAAGACTGCGGCAGGCGAGGGGAAGGTAGGTCACCTGAAGCCTAAACAGAAAGAGGTTTGACGCCACCTCCTCCCAGCACGCCCACATGCTCCACCCATCTCCTACACCTGCAGGACTCCTACCTAGGCAGAGGCCACCGTGCCACATGGAGAAGACGCCCACCAGGAACAGGAACAAGGAGATCGGCAGCACCACCAGTAGCACGTCTTTGTAGGAGGCATTCCCTGGTGCTGGACATGGGGGTGGGGTCAGAGGTGGGCTTCACGCTTCATAATCCCTCAGCCATTTACCAGGGCAAGTGGCGTACCTGCTTCATGGTGGCAGCTCTCCCAGGGTGTGACTGTGGCCAAGTCCCAGCTGACAGGGTTGGAGACAATACAGGAATAGGCCACGTCCTTGTCTCTCAGCCCCAGAGAAAGGCTCAGGACCCGTTGGTCTGTGAAGAGGCTGTGTGGTCCAGCAGCAGAGTCCATCATTCCCTCCCGACGCCAGCTGTAGGTTATGTCACTGGTGTTGGGGGCCCAGCAAGACAAGAAGACCCGACAGGTGTTGAGGGCCGGAGCATCCCCTGTTACAGCGATGAAGACTTGAACCGTGGGCCTAGGCACTGCATCTGCACAAGAATAGGAGAGCAGGCAAATTTTACACGGCTTGCAGGATGGGTGCATCCTTAGCCTTCTATTCGATATCCTTTAAGAAATGACTCATGTCAGCCTCTGTAGCTATACCTCCTGCTCATCCTCCCTGCTCACCTTAATACATTTCCAGTGCTCCCAAGCTCTTTTGTAGCTTTCATGCTTCTGCATGGCTTGTATGTGCAGATGTTTGCTTTTCTTCGTGGCTTTCCTAGAAAACTACGTATCCTTCAAGGCCCATCTTGGACACCTCACAATGCCTTGACTATGAAGCCTTCCCTGATATTCCAGGCATGGCTTTCATGTCTTTTCCTAGTACTTCTTGTACTGTGTGTCAGTCAGCAAGAGATGGCAAGTATATTTATTAAATCAGGCAAGAAAACAAGCACATTCCTGGACTTTGCCAGCTGACAAAGGATTATGAACAACTAAGAAAATAACTCCAGAGGTACAGACTGCTGTGAAGGGGAGTCCAGATGTAGAGGCTCTGTTTGTTATCCTGGTAACCTGCACTGTCTAGTACTGGCAAATGAGTGCTCGATACCTGGACCATTGAATAAATTGGTGTCCTGGTGTCCTACACCATGGCTCCCTGTTCCTAAAGAGATTGATGAGTAAGTCTCTGCTGACGGGGCCAGTGGGAGAGAATTCTGGTGACAACCCGGAGGGCTGGGTATCTGACAACATTCCAAAGTCAAGCAGAATGAAACCTCATTAACGCCAGCTCAATCTGGTGGGATTTGTGATATGGAGAAAAAGAAATGATTTGCTGGGCACACTAATAGTATAAACAAAGATTACAGGGGGGGATATTTACACCACTTAAGAGGACAAGCTGCTTCCAAACATGAGCAGGCACAGTAGAAACACCCATTGACATTTCTAGTAACTGATCCGCTAATTCAAATCAGTCTTATCTATTGTCAAAGCAGAGCTCCTAAGGACGGCTGCTTGGCAGCTTCCTGCAATTAGTTCTAATCATGCTATGTATTTGGAAGCAATAAAACAGCAATTTCCTTAAAATCTGTAATTCAGATGCTGAGAACAAGGCATTTTAGAGCTTAGTAGTGTGGGTGCCGCATGTATTATCACATTCAGTGTCCTCATCTCACACTTGCGGCAGTTGAGGCTCAGAATGGGATCGAGGCTCCAGCCTGCATGTACGGTTGTGTCAGGTTGTTCACTGCACAAGGGCATTGGACTAAAAGGGCTGGAGGGTGCTGAGAGCCCAAAGGGTTCCCTTTAATTGCACATCTGCACCCTGATTGACCACAGGGGCATCCACATAGCTGCTTTCTAATTGGCCACCAGGGGCATCCAGCTGGTTGCTTCTTGGTGTCCCATACACTTCTGCAGTTTGCTCCCTGTCTTTTATCCTCTCCGCTCCCCTCCCCAAGCTGCTATTCTTTACTTTTCATTCTTCAGTTAGACAGTTCCTCGTTTATTCCAAGGTTTGACTGAGGCAGAGGTTTGAGATCACTCATGTCTCTTTCTCAAGCCCTTGGGAATTGCATGAAGATGAAAAGCTAATCTCTCTTGCCCAGCAAAAATGTGTGCAGGTGGAGAAGGAGTTGTTGGGGAGAAAAGGCCCATCCTGTCCCCAACTAATTCAGCCATTCCAGCTAAGGTGACAGCACCTGTGTGAATGATGCCATCAGATCCCCCAGGACCAAAAGGTCCATCCAGTAGAGTCTGCCAACTGATGAAGTTGAAAAAAATTAGAATTGCTTTTAGCCCTTAAGTTTTGAACCGATTCATTTTGCAATGATGAGTGACTGAGAAAGTCCATAAATAATATGGAGCTAAAATCTCTGAAAGATCTCTTTTAAGGCACATAGTACTGGGGTTGTAGATCAGCAGGAGAGCAAGGCTGGAGTCCATCTCCAGTACCAAAAATAAATAAATAGATAAGCAAGCAAAGAAATAAATGAATGGGTGAAACAAACTTGATACTCTTCTAATTTGAATATATTTTGTAAATGAAAGTCAGTTGTACTGTAATCTAAGATGCAACACTTTTTCTTCCTTTTCGGTGGTAAATGAACTACTTCCATGTTTTATAATCTCTCATGGTACCTTAGAATTGGCAGACAGGCCAGGCTCTGTTCTAGGTGACTTTTCATGTGCACTACATTTCACCTTGTTGGCGCTGCACACAGTAATACTGTCATGCTCACTTAACAAATGAGAAAAATGAAGGTCAGGAAGGCTAAGCATTGTGTCCAAGGCCACTGAGCCAGGAAAAGATCCAACTGGAGTTCAGACAAGGACAGCAAGATGGCAAAGCGCAGCTGGCCCAGGTGGGATGTTGCAAGAGAGTATCTGGGGAATTTTCTTAGCTGTGACTAAAGCAGCAGCTGTTGCCTAAGTTAGACACATGGTCTGAGACTAGAGGTTTTGGAACCCAGCTTGCCTAGCTGCTGTGGCCCAGGCTGCCTGTCTGGTGTTTTGTGAGAAGAGCAGCAGGAGCCAGGGTCAGTGCACTCACCATACACCTTGAGCTGCAGGGTCTGGGTCCAGGTCCGGCCACTGGTGTCCACCATGAGTATGGAGAAGTTGCCACTGTCCCTGGCCTGCAGGGGTCCTAGTTCCAGGCTGAGGTTGCTGTGTAATTGGACTCGGCCCAGGAAGCAGGAGTGGTACAGCGTCTCCAGAGAACCCCGAAAAGATGTGGCCAGGAGCTCCTCCGAAGGCCAGAGAGATCGCCAGATGGCCTCGCGGACTTGGAATCCAGGGGGCTGCTCTGCTGCCAGCAGTACAGAGTCCCCCACTTTGCTCAGCACTTGGGCACCAATAACTGCGATGGGAAGTAGTGCTGGGAGGACAGAGACTCTGGTTACCCCCAGCTCATGTGACTTATCCCTATGCTGCACACAGCTGGAGGGGACACTCTGGGGTCCCCCATCCATACTTGCTCCAGTGAAGTGAGGGTGCATCAGTGCCAGGGGCTGAGGACGAAACAGTTAGGAAGAGAAACCAGTCACTGTGTTCACAAAGCTCACAGAGGAAGCAGGCACTCAGGCAGGCAGTTAAAATAAATTACATTAAGTGCCATGATGGGGAAAGTGGGGGTGTCCTGGAAGAACACAGGTAGGGTGAAGGGGTAACTCAATTAGCATTGAGAGACTCAGAGAGGAAATGGGTAAACCAAAATGCAAAAGAGGAATAGGAATCAGTCAGACCCTGCACCAGGGCTGCCTGGATCGGGGACCAGACAGGGAAGTGGTGAAGGAAAGGGAACAAAAAGTACAAAGGCGCAGAGGGACAGGGCTTGTGCATGGGGAACAGAGAGCATTCTCTGCAGGAGGGGTAGGAAGTGACTGCAGAGCGGGTGGGAGCAGATCATGCCAGGCCCTGAAAGCAGCACTGGAGCTCAGCTTTTATCCCTAGAATAAAACTACCTCTCGGACAGATTTTAATCAAGAGGGTGACATGATTAGATTCATAGTCAGGAAAACCATTCCAACAGAGCGTGGAGAGAACATTGGAGGGAGGGCAAGACAGAGGCTGGTTATACTAACCCAAGGAGAGAGTGATGAGAACTTGAACTAAGCCAGGGGAGTTCGAAGAAGTGAGATAGATTGGAGTAGTGAGATTAAGATGGTGTGATGAATCATTTGGCAATGGAATAGATCTGGGGAGTCGAGAAGAAAAGAAGTTGGGGATCTCCTCCTACTCCCGGTGCCTGAGATTCACTGGGGGCCATTGCATCTGGAATAGGAGAAGAAACAGACAAGGGGTGGTAGTGGTGGTAACATGGCCAGATGCTGAGTTTTGGGGGGACTGTATTTGAGTTTGAGATGTGAGGGAGACACCTCTGTTTGAAGCACTCTCCTGACTCTTCCCTTAGCTCACTTCTGTTCTCTCTGGGGTGTCACCGCCTGCTTCAGCATTCCCACCCCTTTGTGCTGGTCACACACTCCTCTTCTGTGTCCACACGGTGATCAGGGATCAGCCCTATGCCTACACCTGCCCTTTCATTGTTATTTTCTGAGGCAGCATCTATCTCCAGTCCATGAGCTCTTCAAGAACAATTTTTTATTTCCATCTTTGTTCCTACAATGATCACCCTGTTTAGAATCAGCCTATAGGTAAAGCTCAGTAAATTGTATTGAATTTGCCAAAGATGCACTTTGCACCTGGCACAGCAGTTGGCACTGAGGTGCAGAATCAAATAAGGGCAGATGTGTTAGGAGCTGGTTGAGGAAAGGCATTCACTCAGCTGGCCACAATGACTTCAGTTCCTCGTCCACCTCACTGCCCCTCTGAGTCCCAGTCCTCTCCATCCTGACTGTCGATGGCTTCAGTGTTCTCACAAAGTGAAGACAGCACAGATGGACAACTGCACTGCATGTCAGTGGAGACCTGTGTTCTGTCCTGTCCTGGTTCTGTCACAAGCCAGCTATGTAACCTTCCACATACCATCCCCCTCTCCATCTGGTCCCTGCTCTCCCCTCTAAGCTTTGGTGGTCTTGCTTGTAAAATCAGAGGGTTGCACCAAGTCAGGTGTATTAATCTCATTTGACAAGAAGAGCTATTTTAAAAATTATTTAATAGATGGGGATGTAGCTCAGTGGTACAGTATCTGCTTAGCATATACACAAACCAGTAAAATTAAAAAAAAAAAAAAACACCCGTATGTCCAGTGTTTAGAACAAGAACATTACACTTCCATTGACTTGAAAGATTTTGTGAATCAAACACATTGAGGTATTTTGAGGTACAAGGTGGGACTGCTCACACACATTAAAAATGAAGGGATCACGAGGGCCCTTGGGAGCCTTCAGGGTCAGAAACTCAGGAACGGACACTGGACAAAGCAACCTCAAAGTCCCTATGAGTCTCTGATGTAAACAACGTCTTGGTTCCTGTCGCACCCCATGACCCCCATCCTTGACCTTGCAGTGACTGACTTACATCATATTGAGTACTTGCTGATCAAGGAGGGAAGACAGGCATCGGATACAGGGATTCCCCAGGGTTGCAAAGACCCCATGTTTTAGCCATTCTAACATCACACCATAGTCAGGCACACCCAAGTCAGTGGGCCACACTTAACTTTCCCCCACTTCTCCCCGCTTAATGCCCACCTCCCCTTACAAAGCTGCATGGAGGGACCCAGCTTTCCCACAAGCTGCTGAAAATATGCTTCTCCAGTTGTTGGGAACCCTGTGCTGCCCTGCCCTCCCCCACTACTCTACCCAGACTGTATATAGAATATTCATGTGTTAACATTGCCAAATCCTCATGATTCACCTTTCTTTCTAAATCAACAGTACCACTGGCTCAATTCTAACTATCCTGGTCCATAAAACAGCTCATGTCACACGGACATGCAGGTTTCTGGTGCTGCTACCTCCTCATGCGCAAGCCCCTGCTTCTTTTTGTATCTTCTTAGCTTTAAATGGTTCCTAAGATCTTGCTTCACTCTTCTCTATGCTGCCTCAGCTCTAGGGTTCTCACTTGGTCTGGCTGATTAGGTCCCTAAAGGTCTGGCAGGGGAGCAAAGGAAGGGCCTGCCCCACTTACCTTCCCAGAGAAGCAGACTCCACAGGGACCACATGGCTATCCTTCTCTGGAGAGGCAGGCAAGCTCCCTCACAATCAAAGCCTAGAACATCCCAGACCCACAGGATGCCCGGGAGGAGCCGTGGTCTTTCTGGAAAGTCCCACTTTCAGAAGGAGGAATCTTGACTCAGAACAAGATGCCCTGAAAGTGAAAACACCGTAAGTAAAGTGGAAGTTGGCTGCAGGCCTGGCTGGGCTTTCAGGAGTAGATTCTTGTAAGTCATTCTTTTTCCTGTGCCCATGGTTGCCTGGTGCATGGTGACAAGTGCATCCATGCAATCCCACGTGCTCCTAGCTGCCTGCCACGGGGCCTCCCTGCACTGACCCTGTGCATAGCTGTGTCTGTGCTTTGTTGTGATCACAGAGAATCCTCAAAGCTGCAATTCTTATCAAGTCACTTCTCCTTCACTTAAGGTTCTTCTATGGCCTCTTGCTACCCTCAGGATGAAGACTGAATTCTCTGCTTAGCATGCAAGCTTCTGCTTTCCTGGCTTAGCATTCAATGTTCTGCTTTTCATGGTTGGCTTCCACCGCATCCACTCAGCTCCCTGGCATCCTGGCCAGAACTGCCCTTTCCAGGACCATTCGTTTCACACGTATGCTCATGATATTTCTTCCTCTACCAGACATGCTGTCCCAGTTGTCCTTACAGACAGGACATAGCCCTTTGATGCCCCAGGCCAGCCTTCAAGGTGGCTTCCTGACCATGAGCTGACTGCTGGAAAGGATGAGAACACCTGATCTGAGCTCATGTGCATAGCTACCTTTCCATCACCTCCATCAGTGTGTCGCTGGCACCAGTGCCCTAGTTTTTAGCAGTTTGTGTAGCTTGCAAGATCTTGTGTTCATCTGAGGCTCAGTACCTTAGGGATAGTTCATGAGCGTCTGAGAATTAAGTCAATGAATTCTAGACATGGTTACAGAGTTTGCTTTGTGTAAACCACACCACTCTTCTTAGGAAAAATCTTCTTGTGACTTTAGGAAAGCCAGAGCAAGGTCAGATGTAGTTGCTCTGTTTCTCTTCTTGCTTCTGGTGATGCAGTTTGTTGTATCAGGGAAGACTTTTCAAGATATTGCCCCTGAGGAATGTGTCTGATTGCCGTGGTGTGGCTTGCTGTGTCTGGTCCTGTGTAGACCTGTCACTCAAAACTGGGCACCATATTTTGGACTGATGCAGGAAGTAGGTAGATACGGTATGGGATGGAGTTCTGGGTTCCACGTACTCTCAAACAAAATGTAGACATAGACATGCCAAGGAGGGTGAAGGTCTGCCACACCCCTGGTGTAGAATGGTTCTACACCAGTGGGCCACACAGTCAGTGTCTTGGGAAGGGCTGGAGAAAAGTCCCTGGGGAACTGAGATGGGCAGAATTCAAGCTACATCCTGAAGATGGAAAGAGAAAAAGGAGAAGTCCAAGGTTGAGGGTGGGTCCTGGGCAGGAAGGCAGAGGGGAGTGTTCAGAACCTCCACAGCAGGGGAACTATGGTGTAGGTTCCAGGAACAAAGAGGGACAGCAGGGAGGAAATCTTTAGGGTTGAAGTGGGAAGAATAGGTGGGGGGATTGGGATCAGATTATGTGACTTAATCTGGAGAGCAGGGCCTCAGCCTTGTTACATACGTGGCTTCTTGGGAACACTGTGGCTGGGTCTGGCCTAGGAACTGAGTTCTCACTAACACTGCGTCTCCAAGGAGCACTGCTTAGAGGCAGGAGGCTTGCTCATTTTGAGCTGGGTGTTGTTTGGGAGGCAACTTCCCAGTGGTGTGAGAACCATGCAGAAGAGGAAGGAGAGGAAGAGAAGGCAGAAGGCCTGGGGAGCAGCTGTCATGATGGGGCCTGAACTAGGAAGGAAATATCTGGAGTCTGAAGAAAAGGACAGAGAGTGTGGAGCTGCTTGGCTGTAGGATAGAAAGAGCAGGGGAGGGGAATAATTTATGACTCTATTGTCAATTCTTCATCCATTCATCAAGCATTTATTGAGCATCTACTTAGGTGCCAGGTTCTGGGGACACAGAGATGAAAGGCTTAACCCCTGCCCTTAAGGAGTTGGAAGTTTAGAGGAGGAGAGGGAAGAAGTAACCCAATAATTACAACTGATGTGGCAAAACAATGCTGGAGTGTGCATGGGGTGCCCTGCAGCCAGAGGGCAGAGACCCCTTTCCCCAGCCCTCCAAGCAACAGTGGTCCAAGTATGGAATGATTCTGAAGTGTCAGGACCTGGGGGACTGGGAGGGCTGAGGTGTGCACGAGTGGGTGCAGTGTGGGACACAGATCCTGAGTTCCTTCCTAGGGGCCCATAGCTGTCATGGTTCCTCTTAGCAGAACTGGTTGTCTAGAGTGGTCCATGAACACTCCCTCCACCCCTACCCCAAACTCCTCTCCAGAAGGGGAATTTTGCAGATGCTGAGGGGCAGAAGAGGAGGCTGTGTGAGGACCCGGAAAGTATCCTACTTCCCCAAAGGCAAAAACTTGGGGGTTGGTGGTTGACAGCAGGAGAAATCCGTGTGCATGGAGCAGGCTGTGCTTCTTCCCAGGTACAGTGAAGGGTTAAGTCTGGCAGGCAGGTTCTCTCCACCGCTGCTAATCACTGGTTCACACCACATTAATTACCCAGCCACAGGGGGGAGTGTGCTGGAGTAAATTAACTGGTGAGTTCAAAGGGGCCACTCCCTGCATTCCTTAATTAAGAGAGCAGCTGGCAGCCAAGCGGCTGCTCCACCTCTCTGGGGCCTTTCTGGGAAGCCAGAGTGGAGTCTGGCGGAGTCTACTAGTGTGTGCTGTGACTGACTAGCAGCTCCATCTTCCACGTGGAACCCCTGCACCCTTCCACTAGCCCACTTCCACTGTGGGCTGCAGGAAGTTGGGGGAACAGGTGTTAACTGTGGCCAAGCCACCTGCCTGAGCTGGACCATGAACCCTGAATGGAGGTTCAGGCTGGATGGAATTTCAGTGAGGCTGCACCAAGCTGTTACTTCCATGTCCTGTGCTCAAGGATAGAAAGGGGCCATGTTTCTCCAAGAGGGAGAGCTGGGGAAGAAAAAGAGATGGGGTACTTGAGGAGTTAGGAGAGTGGGGAGCCAGGCAGGAAAGAAGAAGGCTAAGAGAGAGCTGCCACATAGTCTGGAAGAGACACATTCCACGGTGTTTTGGGGAGCCAAGGATGACGGGAGAGGATAAGGCTGTTACTGGGGCAGGGGTAGGCATGTGGGTGCCCCTCTGAGGGGATATGTGGGATGGGGGTGGAAGGGAACAGCTGACTCTCACTGCTCATGGAATTTAGAGGAAGAGGCAGTTTTGGACCGAGGTCCTCCAGCAAAGGCCCAACTGACAGGATGAGAAAGGAGTCAGTCCTGCCAGGTACCTCCAGAACATCCAAGAAACCCACAGTGACCAGCCATAAGGGCTCCCATCTACCTGAGCCTAAAGACGGCTCCTCGGTTTTAACCCTACTAGGAGGAGAGTAGCTTCAAAAGACCTGTGTGCTTTTAGTTGTTACACTTTCTCTGCCCGTAAAGCCCAGTTCCTCTCCGCATCTTGTGGAAGCACCTCTACTAAATTTTTAGATGAGTTGCTCCCCCCATTAATGAATTATTAATAAAAACCAATCAGCTCATCAGCCACATTTATTGAGGTTTGTTTTTTAACACCATGGCAACTCCCTTCTGCATGATCTATCAGTAGAGACCATGTCCCCAGACTGTGGGGTAGGTGTCCCATCTTGTTGCACCCAAGCTGCCACTTTAGATAGCTATGTAATATCAGGAAGATCAAATTTGAGGCAGAATGTCCCAGAAGGGAGCCCTGCCTCTGTTACATGTTAGAAACAGTCAGTATGGCTCAGTTTCCAAGCTGTGAAACAGATGTACCTTACCTCTCTGAGATGTGCTGCCATGATCTTGAACCTCAGTTCCTTTCTCCATTTCCTGCCTAAAACATATTTCCTGTCCTCCCTGGCCTAGCCCTGCTGGAATCCAGGTAGAAGGAATGGAATCTCTCATGAACTAACACACAGTTGGAGAGGGAGAGAGAAGAGTGAGTGGGCTGCAATACCAGCAGGAGAGCGGTGGGAGTGGTTCACTTTGCTTTTGAGGCAGTGACACAGCTTCCCAGAGACTTGAAGAAAGGTGGCATAAAAAGAAACCAAGCCACAATTGTGCTTTATTGAGGCAGAGCAGGAGGAACTAGAATCTCTTTCATGCATTCACTCATTCATCAAATGTATGCTATGTGGGGTTCCTACCCTCATGCACACGAATGTCCCCAGCAAACATTTATAGAGCATCAAGCATGTTTAAACCCCACGAAGTAAGTAACTCAATGCCAATAATGACAGTGATCATGTACTGATTATAAAAGGGATAATCACGATTGATCTGTGTCCCACGTGGGAAAGCATTCCACAAACAAGTGGAACATCAGCTGTGTTTTCAAAGTCTGAGAGAAGAATTCCTCTGAGCAGCAAGCAATGTCTGCTGCTGAAGATGACTGATGATGGTTCCAGGTCCTGGCAGCTGCAGCTGCTTCCTGCAGTGCAGAAGGAAATGTGAACATTTGGTGATGCACACAGTATCCCCACTTCAGATGAGAATGCGGGGTCTTCCCCACACTGCACAGTCTGCAGTCCGTGCCCTCATAGTTAACGCAAAGGGGTGGGCGCAGAGCTGGATAGGGGATGCTCATTTAAATAAAAATGCATACTCTTTCCTAGCCAAATCTAAACGAACACACCTGGAATTAAAAGAAATCTCAGTGCATGCAGCCTCTTGCTTCAGGGTAAGAAGGAGCACGTTCTATTTTTAGTTTGTATCTAAATTGCATGGCCACATACTAAGCAAGGGCTGAGTGCCCAATCATATCTTGAGATGAAATCGATGAATGGATCAGACCACAGTGTAGGCGGGTGGTTTGTAAATTCTTAACTACCCGAGAGGGCCGCCAGGGGGCAACACTAAGATGACGAGCCCAGGTGTGGGCTTCCTTCTGTGTTCCAGGCTACCTCTCCACTCACAACCCAGATACTGAGTTCGTCCCTCTCATTATGTGCTTTATTTAATGTCACCCTATAGAGTCTAAGTCTCTATAAAAGGTGCAGCCAGCTCCCCTGGTTGGCTAAGTATTTGCATTTATCTCTGACTTGGACAGGAAAATAAAAGTGTCACAGAGCAGAGCCCTGCAGACTAAATAGAGGCTGCAGGCAGGCCGTCCTGTGGCTTGGTTAGTGAAGGCAGGTGGCAGGCAGCCCTCTAGTGCCCCGGGGACACTTCCTCAGGGTCCAAAGGGTCTATTCCTAGAGAAGAGTGGATGCCCTGTTCTCCTGGCAGATGGCTCTTCGGTCCCTGCACCTCTACATCCTGCAGGAGAAGCAGCAGGCAGGAAACAGGGGTTGGGGCATTAGTGTCTGACAGTAAATCAGGGAGGGCGGGCTTGGAAAGCCTGAGTCTTTTTATAAAGCTCCACTGCATGCTCTGGTTTGGGTTTTTCTTTTTCTTCAATTTTTTTTTTTAGTAAAAAAAATTTATTATGGTTCTTAGTAAAGATTTATTGTGAAAAATTATAGCTTATTCTTTTCACTCAGAAAAGAATAAGCAATTACAACTGGGGGTGGGGAAGCATTCTGGGGAGAAAGCGAAGTGCCCAAGTAGCCAGTGCCATGGGTGTTTGCACTCCTGGAGAAAGCATGAGCATGGAGGAGGGCGCGTGAGGGAGTGTGGAGAGGGCTTCTCAGCCATCTCTGCTGAAGGACCTGGTTTTCTTTCTTTATTTCCAGTCCTTTGTGGCCCTGTACTTTGTAGAATACAATAAAAGCAAATTACTAGTAAAAAAAAACCCCAATAAGACGTACATACAAAAATGCAAGTCCTAATTTTTGATGATTATATTAAACAAACTAGAGTGCTGTACCAGTTTCTAAATTCTTGCTGTAATTTTCCCATTTATCTTGTCACAGACTAGGAGAAGCAATTCACAGCCTGGCACCAGGCCAGTGTTGAGTGTCATTGGCGCAGGGGCAGGAAGGGAGAAAGATGTGACACCCAGACAGGAGGTGACCTGTGGTATATGGGTCAACTGGAAGGGCTGATTCCATCCCAGCCCCCACCATCAGTGTTTTCCTGTGTGAGCTGACTTGTTAGGTTGCTGCTCTTTATGAGGGTGAGTCCTCTGAGGCAGGTGTGGCAAGGGCTTGGGTTTTGCTGTGCCCCCAGCTGACCCCAGGACCCTGGGGTCCTAAGTGAACTGTGTCTGTGCTTCTTAGTCCTTGCAGTGGTGCCTCTGATAGTTGGCACCTTGAGGAGGGCACCCTGGTGTATTCCAAGGATGGGCTGGACTGGTAAGAGAGGAGGGGATGGAGAAGGAAGATGGGAATGGGAAGAGGTTGGAGCGGGGAAGAAACAGATGAGAGGGAATAGCAATGAAACAAACCAAAAAACAAACAAATAAACAAACAAACTGGCATGTGTTGTCTTACTAATTCTCTCGCACACCTCTGTCTTCAGTCAGGACAGAACTACAGCCAGTTAGGCTCTCAGGTGAGCAGATGGGAGGGCTCTGATGATGTGCCTTGTAGGTGGCTAACACTTTTAAGATGCTAATGTGCATGCAGATTACCCATAGGTCCTCCTGAGATGCAGATTTTGAGTCAGGGACTCTGAGGTTGGGTCCAAATGGTGGCATTTCTAATAAGCACCCCATGATACCAGCAGAACCCGGAGCTGTCTGACTATGTGTTGCCTCCTTCATAAGCAAAGTGGGTGGTGCCTGCTGTGGTCCCTGTCTGTAGGGTGACTTCCCTGTGATTCCAGGGCCATAGCCTATGAAGTCAGGCCAGTGTAACTCAGACGTCAGGCATCCAGGAGTCCTGAATAAACTAAAATGAATAGTCACGCACAAAAAAAAAAAAAAAAGATTGTTATTGATAAACATTATTAAAAATTGATGCATTTCTGTTAACAAAGTATACTTTGCAACCATGCAGCTTTTTGTATTTACTTTTTAAAAATACATTTCAATTAGTGCCTTTTTACAAAATGTTGAGTTTCAGTGTGGTTTGCACACATGCATGTGACGTTTCTTCATTGTATCCATCCCGCATATCTTTTTAAATGAGCAAGGGGTAATGAAGTTTTCTGCTGCCTGTGGCCAACAGGGGCTTGGGGCAAATCCCAGTTCTGTTTCTGACAAATGGGAAAGGATCAGGACAGAAACAGGACTGTGTGTGGAGGCAGAGTTGTTGGTGCCTACAGGGCTCTGACCCCACTCTCAAGAGTTCTGTGATATTTGGACCAGAACTTTCCTGCCTGACCTTGTTTTTACTGAAGCTCCAAGAGGCCCTTTTGCCTTCAGTCACTTGTGGGCTTCAGCAGCATCTTGAAAGTTAGAAATACATCACAGAGCTGCCTGTTCTAGAGTCAGCCCTCTGAAGCCCTTTCTTTCTTTTCAGGGTCAGGCCAAGTGTGTCCACTTCCTCTTCTCTCTCTCTCTCCCACTCTCTCTCTGTAGAGAAAGAGAAACTTCCACTAGTGCAGAAAGAAGGCATTTATAGCTGTGTTCAGTGTCACTGGTGAAACCTAGGAGCTTGTGGGGTCCGTGGCCACCTAGGGGGCATTGGAGGCTGGGTATAGGTGCATGTTGGAGGGAGATGCCGTTGCTAGTAGAGTGCATCCTTGCAGTCACCAAGAGGATCTTGGGAGGTCCCGCTTCTTAGATTCAAGTCCTTGGAGGGAATCGTACTGTGCTGTGGGCGTCTCACTTCCGTGTAGACAGCAAAGATGTCCTATGGGAGAGCTGGGTCAGGATATGGAAGCAAATGTAAGGTGCAGGGTGGGAAAAGAGTAGGGGGCCCCTCCTCACCTTTTCATCAGAGGTGAACTCAGCAGGTCTGACTGTGGGGGCAGAGAAGCACTCAGGTTGGGGTATCCGTGCTCACCAGTGTCCCCCACCCCCACCTCTCTTTCACTGGAGAGCACGGAGTTCGCAGAGGACATTCCTTTTAGTTCTATACAACCTGGGAACAGAATCTGGAATCCAGAGATCTGGGTTCTAGCCCCAGTTCAACCAATACCAAAAACCTGATGGAAGGTCAGTCAGTTAGCCTCTGAGACTCAGGTCTTTCAACTAAAAACAAAAAGGGTGGTGGTAATAATTTCCTCACAAGGATTGTAGTGAGAAGTGAATATGTAAAAGAATGTCCTTACTGCTTCATTAGACCCCTACCATCTACAGGACAACTTTTTATGTGTGAGGATTATATTTAATAATCACAAAATTATTACAGTAAAAGACACTTTTAAAAAATCTCCTGTGTATCTAATCTTATACCAATTCTGCAAAGTCTGGATTATTCTTTTTTATATTGGTATAAAAAATCTATAGGCACTTTCATAAGTAGAAGAAACTGTAGGTAAATTTGGAATCTTTACAAACTATGGAACATTCTCCCAATGATCCAGTATTTTCTTTCCTAATCATCTTGGAACATAACAGTTTCTCTTTATTTTGAGTCTCAAGTCCCTTCAGCCACACATGAGCAGGCATGGATTGGAAGCAGATAACTATCCCCACCACTAACCTCGAATCATGTCTTCACATTTGTTACCCTGTTAGGACTGAAACAGTCAGATTTTTCTTCTTTTGACAATGTAAATCACGTATTTGGAATGTTTTGTGATGGTTGTTTCTTTCTTGGTTTAGGTCCTCCCTGTAACTCTTCCCAGGGAGGAGCTTGTCTGTGTCTGCTGTCCATTTGTCCTGGCAATGCTTTGGACAGTAGCCAGGCAGGTCCTGGGAAACATCACCAGGTCAAGAGATTCCTCGGCTGTTACCACCCTTTGTGTCCTTTGTGGCGAGAAGCAGAGACCCCAGAGCAATGTAAACCATTTTTATAGATCAGGTATAGAAATCTCAAACCAGGTGAGTCATTAAAAAATACTCTTTGTTTTTGAACCAATAGTACATGCTAAATGATTTTTAAAATTTATCGAGAACTCAGATTCTGTTCCCAACAATTTACAGCAGTCTTGCAAAGTAGACATTATGCCCATTTTATAAATTAGGGTCATAGAGGCTCCATGCCTTGCCAGGTTACACAACGAATAAGCACAGAGAGTCAGGGTTGGAACTCAGCTCTGCCTGGCTCAGAAAGCCACACTCCCTTCCCACAATGTCGCACTGCCTTCTTCCCTTTTAGAGACAGAAGTAGCCTTTCTCCCATCTCTGCTATCAGACGCTGCCAACTGTAGCTAGAATTTCCAGTCTGTTTGACTCCTCTAGGTGGAACTGTCATGTCGTCTTATGCTCTGGGGCCTTGGTAAACTGTATCATTCTTTTTTCTCTTTTGCTTCTCCACAGTGACCAGCAAAGGGCAAAACTTCCCTGCAGTTATCAAGATGACAGTGGTGGCAGAGATGCTATTGAGCATGGTGAGTAGGGTGGTCAGAGTAGTATTTGTGGTGACCTTGGTACTAGAGGAGGAGTGGTCACTGTGATGAGTGTGAGTGTGGCAGTCATGGGAGTGGTGTCAGTGGGGAGCTGTGGTAGTGAAAGAAGAAATGATAGTGATCAAGGTTGCACTAGTGATGATGGCCAAGGTGGTGGTGATGGTCACGGGCTCATGGTAACAGTGGTGATGGTAGTCAATGAGATGGTTATCATAATGATGGTGATAAATATGGTGGCATTGGTGACAGCAGTAGGGTTTGCCTGAGACAGAGGTAATTACAGTGATGCTAATGATACTCTCATCTGAAGCCCAGAATCTCCCCTAAGCAAAGGTTCGGGCTGAGGTTGCTCACCCTTGTTCCTTTTTGAGCCTCGCTGCACCACAGAGTAGGTGATATCTTCCTCTTTATCTTCCTGTTGGTGTACTGGAAGAAAGAAGGAAAGAATAAGTTGCCTGTCTCTCCCTCTCCAAGCTGCAAGTGTCCTGAAGACACTTACACAGGAAAGCCAGTCAGAGGCTCTGTCATGGTGATAACTAGCAGTGGTGACCTCTTATTAATGTGGGGATGTCCATCTTGGTAGGAGATGCCTGGTTTTCTCAGCAGATTTTAGCAGCTTCCTTGGTCCTGCCACTGTTTAAATAAGAGACTGGCACACTTCTATGAGAAAGATAGCAAATTTTTTAAACTTTGTGAATGTGCCATCTCCAGCATAACCATTTAGCTCTAGCATTTGACAGTAGCTACACAGAATGCATAAACAAATGAGGGTGACAATGTTCCAATAAAACTTTATAAAAACAGGCATTGGTTTGGCTTGTGGGCCAGTTTGCCAACTCTTGATGCAAACTCTCCCTACATTCTCTCCCACATTCCTGGTTCCTTTCCTACCCACCTCTCCCAATACCAGCTCTGCAGCAGGTGCTCCTTAGACTTTCCCCAGAAATCATCATCTCCTTTCTCCAGATGACTGATTCTGGAGATTCAGGGCTTCCTTCCCCCTACTCCTTGTAAGGGGCCCTTCTCTGCCTTCAGGGAAGGAACATAATTTCTAGAAGTCCTTACCATTGCCGTCCAGTGGGCACTGCTCTCCAGCTGGAGCTGAGGGTGGATTCAGGGCGGGAGGGGGCTCTAGGAAATGCAAAAACACCATTCACCAAACACCTCTTGCAGAGCAGGAAGGAACAAGGAGGCCGTGTGAAGGATGATACAGAGCTGCCAGTGGCCTGCGGCTGGCTTGTTGATAAGGGTTAATTCACAACTGTAGACATGGTTAATTTTTATGGAATTTTTCCTTTGGAAAAAACACTCTAGAAGTCACAGACCGGGAGGAAGAAGGGTCAGACATGAAAAGTGCCTGGACACACAAGCAGGGCTGCTTTTCAGAAGAAAAAAAGGCTAGTAACTTTGACTGTATATTATGTGTCAGACTTTAGGCTGGGAATTTAAAATGTCTATTTCCTAGTGCAGCACTAAACCCAATAACTGGAACATAGTTGGATTTAAAAAAAGCCTTAACTATTTCCATATAGCATACCCACTCCTCAACAAACAAACAAAGCCAGCACCAAGACTTTTGGTAGCTCAAATGCCTTTAAAGGCAATTTGCAAGGCCGTTTGACCAATGTTGGTGTCACTGGAAACTTGATCATGCAAGGGGTTCACTTCAAAGTAGCTTTCTACCCCTGTGTACAAGTTGTGGGACAGTGGTGAGTGGTCAGAAATGGCTCTGTAACTGGGCTATTTGGAGTGGTTTTTATTACAGAGACAAGTATGATGAAACTCACAGGTTTTCATTTTGTGGTCTCCTCCTCCACCTGCCTTCCCATCTAGTTTAGGACCTGCCCCAACCCTTCTCTTAACACACAGAGGTATCATCAAGCACATCTAACCTGCGTTAAGATCCAGATTTCAGATAGGCGGGAAGCAAGTGATGGGAAGTTGGATGTGAGGGGACTGGTAAATGAAAAGGGGGAACAGGGAGTAGAAGGCAAGCTCGAACCCTAACTGGAAAGGCAGGAGCCTGTGTGTCGGGCTGGAGAGAGGCCCTTTCAGATGCCCTGGAAGATGGTCAGGGAAGAACGCTTTGGATTTATGGCTACATAGTCTTTCTGGATGAGCAAGCTGACTTAGCTCTGAAAAGTTTATTTCAAATTCCTTAACAGAGGGAGCTGCAAGCTTGAATATGTAAATCTAACTTTGGAGGTCTAGGTAAGCAATCATTTTTGCCCTAGACATGTGGAAAATAAAAAATAGGTAGATTGCTGCATAGGTAGATTGCTTTCCATTGTTACCCTGCATAGGTAAATTTGAAGCCCTAGGAATTAAGTGGTCCTGCATGGCTTTGGCCACTTTGGTAGCCATTCCTTTAAATGTGGCCAGAAGTGAATGATGGGTGGGTTATAATACACATGTAGCCACCGACAGTGATTGCTTTCAAAACCAGCATTCAGGCTTCATTGCCATTACCAAGACAGGAAGGAGACTATCAGGGATATAAAATCATATAGATAGCCTAGAAAGTCCATTTGTCTGATGGTTTTCATCTCTTCTTGGTAGAACTGTAACCAATCTTTTTATTTTCAATTTTAGAGGAATCAGATATGAGCAGCTGAAGAAAGGGCGGCTTGAAGAAGCTGATGAGATTATCTGCTTGGATTAGAATGAAAATTTGCAAAGTACTCACTATGTGGCAATCAAATACCTTAGGTATTAGATATATGGTCTCTTAGTGACTCCAATCCTTATGAACACCAGAGAGAGAGAGAGAGAGAGAGAGAGAGAGAGAGAGAGAGAGAGAGAGAGAGAGAGAGAGAGAGAGAGAGAGAGAGAGGAGAGAGAGAGAGATTCTTTAGTGAATATTAGATATTAGGAGTGAGGTGGTCAAGACTATGGAGCTAGAAATTTGCAGAGTTGGGACCAGGCCATCACTTGGTCCTTTCTGATCATAATTGACTGTAGAAGGTGTATGTGTACGTATATGATCTCTCCTTTCTCCTTTCTCTTATATTTAATGAACCAGAGCTCTACTAATATGACAGAGTTGGAGGCTTTGTTCTTTTCACTCATATACAAGCTATAGATCACCTTTACAACATGAAGGACACCAATATATACCATGTTTGGTTTATAGAAATTCTTTGGTTTATGCTTCTATTCATGCCTGACTATGCATTAGTGCTATTGTGTGCACCAGTGTGTGGCCGTGAAAATTAAGGCAGTGTGTGTCTGTGTATGTATGTTTTGGAAGCTGCAAGCATCCCTCCTGTCTTAGTTACTTTTTACTCGTCGCTGAGACAAAATACCTGATGCCCAAAGTTGGGAAAGGAAAGGTTTATTTCCTACGGTTTTTCGAGGTTTCAGTCCATACTCAGTTGGCTCCAAGGCAGGGTGGCATGGAGGGGGGCCACAGTTCATAGTGGCTGCAAACAGCAAGCAGAAACCGGCAAGAGAGAGAGACACAGCTTCTTCCTGCCATTACATTGTATGCTGGCTCCACTCATATGTAGGTGTAGCACTGACACCATCAATCCAAGCTCTAAACAGTGAACCAATCACAAATGCACAATGCAAATGCCTGAGGTCTGGGGGCCACTGACACCTCGCTTGTGCCCCTTTATGAGACACGCAAAGAGAGGTCTCTCTTCTCACTCAATGCTCAAGAGAAGAGAGTGATTGGTCCTGCTGGGGTCTGCCTTCTCCAAGGCTAGGCAGTGCCTGGAATAGGGATTCAGCAGTGAAGAACAAAAAAGAGTTACTAACCAGCTCTTCTCCAGGGTGTGAAATAAGCCAGAAGGACAACAACAATGAGCATCAAACCAAGCAGGGTCCCAAGTGGCCCAGCAATCAGCCAGTAGCTTCTGGTAGGGGTAGACAAATCTTGCAAACCTGGGGGCAGGAAGAAGGGGGAATGACCATGAGCAGTGAGCATAAAATTCAGAAAAGCATCTCCAGTTGGCTCAGAAAGGCAGAATAGCTGGCTTTAGGAGAGCAATGTAGCCTGCAGAAGCCCTGGAAATGGGAACGAAAGAGCTCAGAGGATGCCAGCATGACCTATGACAGCAGGGACCACCTGGCAAGACTCTGCCAGGTTCAGTGCACGGCTCATGCTCCATCATACAGAGCCTGCCATAGGCCATCACTGTGCTGGGCATGAGTGAGATCTGACTGCTGTCAGCTTGTAGGGGCTCAGAGCCTGGTTTGGGGACAAAACGCACCATCCAGGGAACGCTGCTTGGGTTCACTCTTCTCTCTGGAGACACTGTTGTTGGCTTCACAGGAGTAGTTCCCAGCATCTTGCTCTGATTTCACTGGGAAGAGGAGGGAGGTGACTCCACCATGGAGGATGGTGTGGTTCCCCAGAATCTCCCCATCAAGGTAGAACAAGTACAGGTTTGGAGGGGTACCCCTCTGGGCCTCACAGAGCAGCTCTATCACATCTCCCACAGCAGGGCCAGTGGCTCCATGTCGCAGAGTGAGGAGAGGATGGGACACAGGAACTGGGATGGCATGTGGAATAGGAGGGTCAGCCTGACTATCTAGGTTCCCATTTCCCCCTAAAGGCCCTGTCCTACTCCTGGTGTCCTGGGCTCCTGAGGCGTCTTGATTCCCTCTCCTACTCACCCTGCACCCTGATTTCCAATGAGGGGCTCTGCTTCTCAACTTGGCCACCCTCAAGGGCTACTTTACACCAGTAAACCCCAGAGTCTTCCTTTCTGACTTCTGGGATGTGGAATTCTGCATGACGGCTTGTGTTCTGCATGTGGCCATCCTTGTAGAAGGAGAAGAGGAGCTTCAAGTTTGGCTTCTTGGGGTGCAGTGCTGTCTGACATCTCAGGCTCACTAGGCTCCCTTCACGGGGCTCTGGAGAGGGGTCTGTGCTCAGTACAGGAGGCCGGAACAGCTCTGGAGAGAGATTAGTGCTCCAGGGTGGGGAACCCTGGTCAGTGAGGTCTGGGAAGCTGAAGACTGAGCTCCAGCACAGCCCAGGATACAGCTCTGTGACCCAGATGGGAGACAGTGTCATCCCCCAACCCATGAGTTCTGAAAGGGTTCCCTGCTCCCTGCCAAGAACCTTGAGAGTTCTGGAAGTCAGAGCCAGATAGGCATTGGTGGTCATCTGCTCTTCAGAGGGAAAGGGAATATGGACGGGGCTGGCCCAGCACATTTTCCATTGCTCTGCAGATGTCTCTGAGGAGTGAGGGGACATTTGGACAACATCAAGGATCTCTTGGGGCCCCATGTGTTAGTTCAACATCATGGACAGCCAGAAAAAGAGGTCCTGCCCAGGAAGCCACTGAGCCCTAGAGAGTGGACTCTGAGAAGGGCCTATCACCACCAACCCCTCTAAGCTGGTGACTCACCTTGGACTCCAACCTTGGTAACTGCTGAGGTTTTTATGAAGGTGTATGTTTGAAATGGCACATCCTTAGTGCAGTGGTACTGCCCATTGCTTTCCATTGTTGCTGCCCCAACGGACAGAGGCTGGTTGGTAACAAAGAAAGCAAAGAAGTTTTTATCTTTATAGAACTTCACTTGGGACACTGTTTTGGATCCCCTTTCTTCGCACTGCAGAGTCATGGGGTCTCCTTCAAACACAGGGTTTGGCTGGACTTGGAGGTTTAGCTCTTGGAGGTTTAGCGGGGCTGTGAGACAGAGGAACATGATTAGCTTGGAGCTGCAGGTCCCATCAGTGCACTCTCCTCTTTGTCCCCAGACTAAGGCTGCTTGCTGTGCCTGAAGACTTCTGGACAGAATCTCACAGCTGCCTGTGTCCAGTCCTTCATCTCATACCAGGTCGGGGCAGGACCTCGACTTCCTTTTCTTCTCTCCTTTCTCTTGCTTTTCTCTGTTTGCTCCTTTCCTTTCTCCTTCTCGTCTCTCTTCTCCTGTGCCTTCTCTCTGGCTTTCTCCCCTCCCACCCTCCTTCCCCCTTTCATATTGTACTTTCTTTCACCACCTTGCCATGTTTGGCCAGATTAGGTTGATTTTAGCCATTGTCTGGCTTCATCTTTCCAGACTCAGTTTTCTCTCCCTAAGATCAGCTTCTTCTCCCCCAGTTACCCCAGAGTGATGCTTAATAAAGCCTTCACCCTGATAATAACTGCGTCTCTGTCCATCAGACTGGAGAGGAGCTAGTGGAGGGGCTTCATAAGAGATGCCCCAGCCGGAACATCTTGAATCACAATCAAGCTCCCCAGGCCCCGCCTCCATCTGCATCCCCAGCAGGGGCTTTTAGCTTCCATCACAGTCATGAGAGGGATTTGTTCTCCCTCTCCTTATTCCTAATATGCTTCTGTGCTCTGATGTGGACAAGAAAAGCGCTCCTAGGGATCCAGCGTCACCTGTGGGGCTGGATCCTTCCCAGAGGATGGGCCTTACTCTCCCAGCTGCTCTTTCTATCCATCTAAGTAGAGGTTTAAATTTCCACCACCTACATCACACACAATGTCCTCAGAGGTCAGCGTGTTCATAGCCTAGGGTTTTTTTTTACTTGACAGCACCCTGGAGGTACTCAGAACAAGGCTGGAGAACAGGAATAGCACAGAAAGAAAAGAAGACTGATGGACAAAGGCCTGCTTCTGTGGTTAGAAAAGGGAAGGAAATGAGCCCAAGATGAGTTGAATAGAGAATACAGATGCTCCGGAGCTACACTGAGAGAAGGGACACAGACTCTTTTGAGGGACTAAGAGAAAGGTCCAGAGCCACTTTGTTGAGGTTCATCTCGCCCTAGGACCTTTAGCCAATGGAGCTGCAGGTTTCTCCTCTTCTTGGACATTAGCCAAGAGTCCTAAGGAAGGAGCCTAGAGTGTAGCTGTTCTACAGATGCTGCAGAGAGACCCAATGATACCATCTCTGTCCATTCAACATTGACCCAGAGACATACTCAGAGTCAGAAGATATGGAAAAACTTACCACATCTCCCAACACACGAAACTGCAAGAGAACAAAGTGATTTTTAAAAATTTAGTAGAAAGAATTTTCACATTGGGAAGAACATTCAGACTGTCACTTCAACTGGTGTTTACATCCAGCCCGCAAGCCACCCACCTGGAAACTGAGCCACTCAACTGTCGAACTACTCCCCCACATAACCACCAAGCCACCCAACCATTTACCCATTCAACTAATCAGTTTTTATGCTGGACCCACCCTGCCCCCATCCTCTGCCCTATCATGGTTCAAATGTTGCACTTCGGACAGGTTTTTCCTGAGACTGCAATCAAAAGAACTCTCTTCAATCACTGTCACTGTGTCCTATCATCTTAAGAACACATTTGAGTTTATCCTATTCATTAAGTTGTCAAGATGTTATCACCTGTCTTCCTCTGTTTAGAATTAGAATAAGCAAGGATTATGCTTTTTAAAAAATTATTATATATTTATTTTATTTATATATTGTTTTGTACTGAAGATTGAGCCCAGGTGCTTCACACTGAGCTGTGCCCCATTCCTTTTTAAATTCTGAGATAGGCTTTTGCTAATTTGTTTGGTTCAAACTTGTGATCCTTCTGCTTCAACCTCCAAGAGTGCTGAAATTACAGGTGTGCCCACCATGCCTACCTTGATTCTGTTTATCTTACCCACTGCCATGGTCCTTACATGTAGAACCTATGCATGGAACACCATCTGTGTTTCATAAGCATTTGTGGAGTAAGGGCACGCATGTTTTCTTTCACATTTAGTTGTGTGGGGCAGGGATCAAAAGGTAGAAGACATAGGACTAGACTCCTGTACCAGCATGCCCAAGCACTCACTCCCATACATACAGTAAAGCCCATATAGCAAGATCTGGCCCTAGTTTCTATGGTTCAGTACATCCACAGAGCTCTGGGGAAATAGCATATGGCTGCGATCAGAGTGTGGAGGCCAAGGTCCTCAGACAGATAGTCAAGCATACGGGATGTAGGCAGCTCAGACAAATGAGAGAACCACAAATAAGTGACATGCATCACACACCATGCTGGCACCTGCACACCCTGCATCAAGGCTTTAGAGGATCATGAATTGTCTCAGGGATAAATGACCCTAAATCGAGGGGCACAGGTGAACATGCAGTGGTGGAGCACAGTTTGTACTTCTGGTCCAGGGGAGGCGGTGACGACAGACTGAAAGAAGAAGTGCGTCAGTTCAGCCAGTCTTCCCACAAACTGAGCTGTGTCCTTCACTGGTGACATACCGTAAAGGCTGCAGGGGACACTGAGAAACTCAGCCACGGCCCCAGAAGAGGTGGCTGAAACACCCTCTCAAAGCACGCATTTGTCACTTTCAGTCACATGCTGCCATCTTTGCCGCCCACCGTAACTTCAGACATCAATGGGGCTTTCAGCTTGGTCTTCTACTCACCGCAGTTATAGCTTCTCCATTGTGAAGTTGACTGTGAGAGTCTATTTCTTATCATCCCTCTACTTACCCGTTTTCTCCACCTTTCCTATTTATGAGCTTGTTGTAGCAGAAAACAGGCAAGGTTCAGAAGCAGAGGACCTGCACTGGACTCATGAACCTTTCTATGTGAACTTGAACACACTGTCTAGATTCCAAGAGCTCCAATTCCTCGTCCTGTCATATTATTTTTATAGGGCGACTGTGAAGGTTATACTGCCCCGCTGACTGGAAAAGTGGCTGCTACATTAACTGAAAGCGGAAAGGCCTGACCACAGGGTGACTGAGAACTCACTCTGTACTTAGGTCTCCACCACCTTTCCCTCCTCCCCAGAAAACGATTTTGCGGCTACAAGGTGAGAAACAAACAAAGCTGAGGTACAGTGGCCTATGCCAAGAGAGAAGGCGTCTAGAGACATAGAGCCATTTCAGGTTAGCTTAGATCTCTAAGTCCCAATGACTTGCCATCCTATGGTGCTGCAGCATCTTGGATTTGTAATTGCAGAATCACCCTTTGTGATCGGACAGCAGCCCACTGGAGATGTACAGAGTGGGAAGGCCCAGCAGTGTCACTTATAGAGCCAGAAGAGTAGGTGAAAATGTAATAAATTGCATCACCAAACTGCAAATTGTGGAGGCAGTAGCACCTTGAGTTCTGCACCAGTCAGTACCTTGGTGGGGAGAAGAGAGTCCAACGCCTGCCACAATGATAAAGTGCATCAAGACAAGGCAGATTGAGATGAGAACAGGGTCTAGAAAATATTTCCTGTTAGATTTGCTGAGGCAGTGGGAGGTTATTTGTCTGAGAAAGCTGCACAATAATGGTCTTCAATCATTTGATGGGCAAAACTTAAAAGAAGGCACAGACTTACTCTGAGTTACTTCCTTCCTGGGGCAGAAATGAAACTAATGCATGAGAATCAGTGGGTCCAAGGAGGGAGATTTTAGCTCCGTATGAAGCAGTTCCAATGGTCCAACATGCCCAGTTGAGCTCTCCCTTGGTAGAACACATGGCTTGGCCAAGTGTGGCCGCCACATTGCTGGGAGGATTGTGTGTAGGCTACATGCCACAGACACTGAGTATGTGGGATATGGGCTCAGAAGACGATGGAGGCTGGCTAATACTTGGCTCACAAGAAAAGTAAAGACCATCTCCCAATTTATTTATTTAGTGTTTGAGCATAATCAATAGGTTTAATACCAACACTCTTAGCCTGTTGGATCCCTGAGAGCCAAAAAGCATCCTATCCACAATTGCTGTGACCATGCCCTGCCAGGCATTTAAAATGAATTATTACTTTCTCATTTTGCCTAACAAGGGTCCAGTTTCATCTAAACTAGTGGTGGAGCAGAAGAGTGGAAAAAGCAAAGGGTTCAATATTTTGTGGATTTGAATTTGCCTCTCTGTTTAGTCCAGGGGTAGTTATTTTTACAAGGTCGTGCAGCTTGCCCTTGGGAACCTTCCATTGGAGTTTATCCAGGCCCTGGACCATTCTGACCAACATGTGAGCATCAGGTCTTGCCACTTGTTCAGTGCCCATTTGTAGGATGCACATGGTAACATCTTAATGTGGGAATGGGAGAGACACACAAGGGAACAGGCATCTTCCTCACAGCCTTGAATTCTTACAGTCTCTGCCCAGGAAGAGATCATACTGAGGAACGGTTTTGCTCTTCTGATTCCATGAAAACAAACAGCAAACAAAAAAGCAAACAATTGAACCAACTTAAAAAAAATAGATCAACTCAGAAGTTGTCAACAGAAATAAATGTGCATGCATATGGTGTCTTGTAGGTGTAGTGTGGTGACCCTGGCTGAGACTGAGCTGAGCCTAGGGGAGCTGAGAGACCTCCCCACTGCAACCCTTTACCACTGGACCATCTTCTCGAGGAGTCCATATGATTGGCTCGAATGGGGAGAGATGCAGAGAAGAGAGCAACAGAGATAAGAGAGAACAGGTTCGACTCTGCGAACCAGCCCCAAGGACTAGTCAGAGCCCTAATCCTCACCCTCCCAAAGGGGAGAGAATGCAGCCCGAAGAGAATGTTCAATTTGAAAAAAGTTTTGTATACTCAGTACCTAAGCCCACCGATCAATGAGAAGTGTGGCCATTGTTAAAAGGTTCTAAGAAAACACTGAGTTTTCCCAAAAACATGTTCCCACCTTCTGGTGCTGAACACAATATACAGAACTTCTGTCCCTATCTCTCTGATCTTTGAACCCCCCAGCAGCCTCTTTTCCCTTTATAACTTTGCGTTGCCTTTTCAGTCGGCTCTAATGAGTCTTTTAACCCGATTTCAGTACAGTTGGGTAACAAGGAGGCCTCAGGATGTGATTTTCTGTTTTCCCAGTTTATCTCTGACACATGGAGAAGCTGTTCTGCTCAGAACCCAGGCCGATGGGATGGTAAACAGAAAGGGGTCCCCCGAGCCCTGTGCCTATGGGCCCCAAATAGGCACAGGTGCATTTTTCTCAAGCACAAGTCACTAACTCAGTGGAAGTGGGACAGGAGAGATCAGGAATTCTGTGTCTGAGGAACCTTAGTGTCCCGGGAGGAGATGCCCGTGACCAGTGACTTACCAAGGAGCAGCAGAGCCATCCAGCGCAGCATGGTGCTTGCCCAGGCGCCTGACAGGAGCTGCAAGCTGAGGTGAAGCTGTGGGGAGAGCACATCGGCCTCAGGCCCGGGGTGAGTGGGTGGCCCCCTGACTGAGGCATGTGTGTGGGTGTGCGTGCATGCATATGTGTTTGCGTGTGTGCCTGTGGTGTTATGGCATGGTAGTCTAAATAAAGGAAGTGGGGAAGAAATTTGAAAAGCTCAAGTTATTTCCCTGAGGTCAAAGTATATTATATACCTTTATTTTATTAAACACAAGACACAAAAGAGCCAGGCAAATCACTTCTGACACTCTGTAACTTCCAAAACCCTTTGCCAAGGAGCCAGCATAGGACATGGCTATGGGGCATTCCTGTTAGAAAGATCCAGAGACTTCCAGAATATGGTCTCAGTTTCTCTTGGCCTGGGATATAGCACAGCATGAAGCTCATGTACCCCAGCCCACCTTGAGAGATCTGTGGTTCTCTGAGGCCCTCCTTGCTGTATTAGGATGTCTGAGAGGGCCCATGGGTTCAACACTTGGTCTCCTGCTTGTGGTACTACTCGGACATGGTGAGACCTTTGAAAGGTGGAGTCCGTGGGGAGGGGGGTCAGGTCTTCGGGAGCGTGTCCCAAAGGGAACTGTGGGACCTTGGTCTCTTCCTTTGCTTCCCAGATGTCATGAGGGGGCAGCTTTCTCCACTGAGTTCCCTACCATCATGTGCTGCCTCACTCGCCACAGGCCCTTGGTCCATACAGGAACTTTGCAAAATGACCTGGTCCAAAATGAATCCCTATATGACATGGATGGCAGATGACCCAGTGGCTTTCTGAAAATTAGTTGAACAGAAACATGGATGGTCATTAAAAAAATATGTACAAGAGTGTTCATAGCAGCATTATCTGTCATAGATACAAAAAGGAAACTGCCCAAGGGTCCCTCTCAGAAAATGAAGTCACATATCTCCATTATCTCTGAAGACAGAACATGCTTTTTTTTTTGGGTGGTACTACAGATTGAAACCAGGGTCTTCACACTGAGCTACATCCCAGGCCTGTTTACTTTTTTCTTATTTTGAGGCAGGATATTGCTAAGTTTTTAAATTGCCTAGATAGGACTCAAACCTGTGATCCTACTGTCTCAGTCTCCCAGAGTGCTGGAATTACAGCCTTGCACCAGAACATGCAAATCTAAAGTGAAACATAGTTTGATAAAATACTAGGAAGTACTTTATGACCATAATGCTTTCTCTACAAGTCTTTAAATCAGATAGCCTGGGAAGAATTTAACGTGCTGGTTACTGAAGCGGGCGTGAAGAAGGTGAGTGTTTTCTTTCCTGGAGTCTCTTACTCGCTGAGCTAAGGAAGCCGATTTGATACTACCAGGAGATTCTTTGGTGTTTTGGTTGCTCTAGATAAAGGTAAAGGTGGTGAAGAAGTAAGGTAGGAACAATGTGGGCTGACAGGATACTTTGGCATGGGAACAGTCAGAGCGAGACTGGGCAAAGGTTATGAGTGTGCCCCTCGTTGGAGTAGGGAGCTTAGCTCGGTGGGGTTTCAGCTGAAGGAATGGTGAGACGGAGAGAGAACCAGGCTGTTTGCCAAACAAAGAGAGCAGCAACTTTTATTGATTTACTGAGACGGGCTAAAGTCCAATAAGTTTCCTTTGGTCAAGCACATGATTCCAAAAGACAGTTTGTCTTGTACAAGACTTGGGCCACCAGGTGGTCATGCTCACCTTGTCCTACAGGCTGTTGAATCTTTGTGCAGTTGGCACCATCATCCTGCACAAGGCATCCCGGCCTTGAGGTTCAGTTCGAGCCTTATGATAGGGTTGAAAGGAATTCACGTGCTTGAGTGGCTATTGCTATTAATGAAGCACAAAGATGGGACTCAGGAAAAGAGAAAAAGGAGAAAGAAAAAGAAAATGCATGCAAATCCAATTGGGTAATCTACATGTGAAACTGTGTATAAAATTACATCCAAAGATTAAGACAGCAAAGGGAATAAACACACTACGAAAATGGAGACGCCCAGGTGTGTATCCACGTTAGTCACCTATGAGATGTCCGTGGGCCCAAGACAGAAGTTCGTGTTCTCAACAGAAACATCCTTCAGGTTCATGAGAAGTAACCCAGATAACTATGATCATAATATGTCAGAGGTGTTAACTACACAGGAAAGCTAGTATGAAACTAACTTCCAAAATTAGTGATCTTTAAGTCTGGTAAGAACCAGTGAAGCTAGAGAGTTTGTTTAGGGTTTTGCTCAGTAACAATTCCCTCATTTCGTGTAAGCTTTCTGCTTTGGTGGTTTTATCAGGGTCTCATGATGGAACTGTTGAAAAGATGACAACAGAAGAGAAACACACTGTGTTACAAAAGGTACTAGTTTACTGAGGCCAGGGGTTTATTTTGTTGTCTCTTTTGTCTTACCACAGCATCCTAACTATCTCGGGAATAAGATATCTTTTCTACTTACCTTGACATCTCTATATTTTCCTGCCAACGGACACCCCGATTTGAGATGCCTCCAGTTTTGTGAAGTCACAGGTCCAGGGGGTGAGGTTGAGGCTCTGCTAGCTGCAGCTGAGGCAAAAGACAGAGGAAGGCAACCACAAATGGCCTAGCTTGCAGACACCTCTGCTGGTTTGCACACACAGCTTCTGAAACTCCTGCTCTGGCAGTATTGATGTCACTGGGTTCTGGCAGCTGAGAGTGTGAACGGCGGTGAGACATCACCCTCTTCCCCTGCAAGATGTGATGCCTATGTGGCTTCAGAGGTGAGTGAAAGGCTGTTGGAGCTGACCTCGCTTCACACTGTTCCCTTGAGGATGAAGTGACCTGGGCAGCAGGTTAAGAATCTTCTGGGACCCATGCCGACACTTAGCTGAGACTGAAATGGATTAGCAAAGGAACAAAAATAGGGAATCAAGGGGCTGTTGAGGAGGTGGGATGATGATAGAGTAGGGATCTTCACTTGGAAGAGGCTTGAAGCCCCCAGGTGACCTCATTACTCAGGGTCCCTGTTAAGGCAGCAGCTATCAGGATCAGGGGCTATTGAGGAATGAGAAGGGTCAGCTCAATGCTCAGGTAAGGGAAGCACAGGACAGCTGGATAAGGAAAAGTTCTGGGCATCGAGGCAGCAGGATGGGCCAACTTCCTGGGCTTGAATCCTCACTCTAAATAGTAATCTGATTAGGGTACTTAGCTAGGTTTTTAAAACTTTCTATGCTCCAGAGCCCTAAAAGATTATATGTCTGGGCTGGGGATTTAGCTCAGTGGCAATAATATCTACCTGGCAAGCATGAGGTTGTGAGTTCAATCCTCAGTACCAAAAAAAAAAAAAAAAAAAAAAAAAAAAAAAAAAAAGATTATATGTCTGTATATGTTTTCATATGTATATTTCATATTTCATCAAAAAGAACAGTTTGTGCTTTCATTGTTTGTTTGATCATTCTTTTCATGCCTATATTTTGTAATCTGAACAACTACTTTGAAGATAACAATGTGCAATATATTAACCAGTATTAATCTCCTGTTATTTTGTTTTGAAACTCTGTATCATCGTTTTTATTTTTTTAAATAAAAATAACAGCAACAACAAAAAGGATAAATTATTTACCTGCACGATAGGGTTGTGAACAAGGTTAAATGAGATAAAAACACAGCACTGTAGGCAGCGCTGTCTTCTGGAACTCTCCACAATGACAGAAACATTCTCGGAGCACCCACTCAAGTAACTCCTCCTGGCTGCTGTGGCTCCTGAGCCCTTGACATTGGCTAGCAAGAATGAGGAACTGCAGTTTCGATTACTTTTGTTTTAATTAATTTAGATTAATTAATTGCACTACATGGCCCAGAGACTGCCTTGGTTCTCACAGGCCTGGAGTCTTGCCAGGCCAGGAGGAAGTGCTTGAGAAAAGCTAAGCCACTGCCCTGGGAGCTGGGAAGCTGCCTCCCGGTCTGAACTTGGGTGGGAGAAGTTGTTCCTGTAGAAGAGGCACTCAGCGTACAGCCTGCTGGGCTTGGGGCCACATCGCTTGCAGGAAGTAGAGATCCAAGGAAAGCCCTGAGACCATTGATGAGTTTAGTTCAAAGGACAGAACAAATTGCAAAAGCGTACCAAAAACCTAGCGTTTAGGACAGGAGCTGAAAGACCAGCAGTACCGTGAAGATGGAGCTAGACGGGGAAGGTAGTTCTGGGCCTGGCCGGCAGGGGCAGGAGTCCTTGTGAAGCACCTGGCTATCGCCCTCATTCTCTTCCCTGCCCTTTCCTTTCCTTCTAGAAAGCGATTGGAGAGTAACTTGTGTCAGGTCTACAGCGACCTCTTGTGGTTACAGGGGCAACAACTGCCCTCAGCAGGGACTCTTCATATGGGCCTCGATGAGGCCATTCAACCACCCATCTACCCTTCTTCCCTCGATCCATCACTTCATCCATCTTTCCCCCGATGAACTTTTCATAAAACTTCTTCTCTATGACAGCTCCATCCTTGTCTCCATGAGTTCTGGAAAAGACAGGCATATGCTATCGTTTTTGTTTCTTGAGGCATTTCCCTCATGTCTCCACTAGTCTGTTGGTCACAGGGTATTATATATGCTTTATTGTCTTTCTCTAGTCTTCAAAGGAAAGCGTAAAATCTAATTCATCTTTGAATAGCACAGCATTAGAGTCAAGATACATCAAAGCCGAGTTGTCAGGAGTTCTGGAGTCAAAAATTTATGCGTTATAATCCTGGGTATGTGGCTTACTAGGTGGGGTACCTTGGCCAATGACTTAACTTTAAGCTTCAGATTTTAAATTTGTAACATGGTAATAATTGGGTAATATCCTGTAATACCCCATAATACACTTAATAATACCCAATAATACACCTAATAGTGAATACTCATATTCAAATAATGTTTGGCATATTGGAATGCCCAATTCACCAAGTAATAAACTGGGTGATACTCATTCTTTAGTATTATGGAGAGGATTATGCTTTTGTAAGTGCAGCATCTTGCATGTCCGCTGCTCCACCTAACGTTAGATTCTTTTATACCTCATGTTCTTACCCTAGCAATGCTATTCTACCATCGTCTCTCTCATGAATTCAGCCGCTCCATCTCAACTGGATTTCCCCACGGGTGCTTCTGAAAGATGCTCAAGTCTTCATCTCAAACAAATCAAACCAAGCCAGCAACCCTTCCCTTGATTTCACCCCCGCTGCGAGGTTCTATTAGTAGTCAGTCTACACACCTGTGTGCCACAAAGGTTGCAGATGTTATGTGGATCTTCTCTGCCCTCAGAGAAGCTGGGTGGGGCCACACTTGAGCTGGGAGCAGCCTCACTCAGCGACCCAGTGTTTCACTGCAGGGTAATCCTTATGTGCCCTAAAGCAGGATGTTTGGGAAGCACTGGACTCTGCTTGCTCCCCTCCTGCTTGTCTCCACCCACTCAGCTACATGTTCAGCCTCCTTCTCATCTCCAGCATAGCCCTGGACAGGTCTATCACACAGGCATTCACACCTTCCTGTGTTACTGCTTTCCTTAAACAAAGCGACACAGCCCTCGCTGGCTTTCCTCCCGTCTCTTCTTCCCATGTTACCCAGCAGTCACAACCTCCCTCCCCTGGAGGCTTTGAAGGAGTTCTGCAGATCCTGGTCCAGGCCCTTCCTCCTATTCTGTGTTCTCTCACTAAGCTTTCTCATCTGTGCTGTGGGTTAAGTTACTACCTCTAATCCAATGAACCCCAAATGTATCTTCCAAGCCCAACCCAAAACCCTCAGTTTCAGACATGGTGGTGGTGGTGGGAATCTGATTGTTGAGCTTAGAGCTCCTCAGGAAGAGCGCCTTAAACTCAGAACCTAAAGACGGAACCCAGCCCCTGCCTCCCAATCTGCTCTTCTTCTGGTTCTTCCTGTGTGAGCGGGCAGCACCACTTACTCTGATGTGCAAGTCAGAAATCTGGCTGTCGTGACTCTAATTAGCCCGTGTTTGTGATTAGCCCAGTCGAAATATTCTCAGTGATATGATCCCTTTGTCTGCACATATATGGGAACTGTGTTTCTGCTGTTTATTATGTGCCCCCTGCTACCTTTCCCTGCTAGTCTGGCTCAATCCTAGTGTGTCCTGGATTTCAGTCTTCCTTGCAGAACTATCCTGACCCTGTCTGGGCTAGCTGCACGAACATGCCCTGCCTTAGTATTTGACACATTTCCCTGGCATTAACCAGCCAACCGTCTCTTGCCTACATGTTCCCTTCAGGACCACAAGCTTCCTGAGGGCAAGGGCTCTGTTCGTCTTGTTCTTTGGGTACTTTCAATGCCTGGCAGAGGCTGTGTGTTCAATGAGTATGTAGGGTGGGACTGAATTGAAGCGGATCACCTTCTTTTTGTCCCATTTACTCAATGTAACCATTTGAGTGATGGTCACTCTCCTCTGTCCCCCCGCATGCCCTCTTAATCTCTCATTCTCTCTTCACAAATAAGCTGATCACAGGGTGAGATTTCTATACATAAAGGTTGTTGGTTGATTCAGAGTTAGCCTTGTATCTATATAATTTGGTGCCTTTATACTTTCCTTCGTGGCAGCAGGATGTCATTTTTTTCTGTGGAGGGATTTTTTTTTTTATTAATCCATGCAGTCCCCTTGAGCTACAGCTCCACGCTCCATCTCTGTTTTCCCCATTTTAATTTACTCTTTTTTTTTTTTTTTTTGTCTTTTTCCTTTTTATCGGTACCAGGGATCGAACTCACGACTGCCTGCTTGCAAGGCAGGTGCTTATGCCGCTGAGCTAAATCCCCAGCCCTTCCCCATTTTAATTTTACATGCACTCCTTACATCTCTTCTTCACATACCCTCCTAGGTAGCATGTTAATTTTTTTGTTTGGTGTGCTGCCCATCCTTGACTGAGAGTCTATGGTTACCGACACAGCTTCAGAAATGTGAGAATGGCTCCAAAGAGAGGCTGAAAACTGCTGGAGGCTCATTCTTCCCCGGAGATTGGGGAAGAAAAGCATATATAATTAAAGTGATAAATTGGATTTTTTGGGTTCTCTGTTTACCACTGTCAAACATAATCTATTTCATGCAGTTATACAGAATGCATAAAATAGGTCAGAATTAATTTTCTTCAGTTTGCTTATTTTCCCCTCCAGTTCCTCGGGTAGATGTGGAACCCAGATGGAAATGGGAAGACTGTAAGCTTTGTGTGTTTAGAGGAGTTGGTGGTAAAGGGTTTAGTGCGCTGGCCCCTGGGAGCTGCACTCCCACAAGCAAGTAAACAATGGAAGAGGTAATGAGCGCCTGGGAAAGAGTAGCGTGTGGAGTCAGGCTGAGCAGCAGGAGAGTCCGGAGCAGATCGCTGCTCTCCTGTCTGCTCTGCAAGTGCTCTGTCCTTCGCTCATCCCTGCCACGCCTCCTGTCTCTGCCTCTCCCCCTGCTGAGTTTTCATCTGCATATGGACATGCACAAGTATCATCCCACCCAAACGAATCCCTCTCCTAGGAACAGCCCATCTTTCTCTTCCATCATGCTGATGCTAACCTCCTCACCTGCTCTCCTGGCGCCCTATTTGTGCCCCAGTCCCCCCTGGGCCCCCATTCCACTCAACTGCTTCTGCCAGTCACAGAGCCTTCTGTGCTGCCAGCTCTGACAAGGGGGCGATGCTCTGCCCTCCTCTTCCTTGGTGGCTCAGCAGCATTTCCGACAGTTGAAGGATGCCCCCTGAAACACATTCCTTTCTTGGTGTTCCTCACATTGCCCCGCCTTCTATCTGGCTCAGGCTAAAGGCTGGATACTCTTTCTTTCCTGACATTGAATGGAGGAGTGCTCAGAGTTTGGTCCTGGTTCCTTTACCCTGGTCAGCTTACACTGTCTGCGTAGTCCTGTGGCTTTAAATATCATACTAGTGACACCCAGATTGATACTGCCCGACCTGACCCTATTTGTGCCCTGGACTTCCGGCCCTAGTACAGTTGATAGCAGCACTCCTCCCTCTGGGTGGCTCACAAACACCTCAGATTTCACATGGCTAAAATAAAACTCTCCTTGCAATCAACAGTCATTTCATTGTTCCTGTCCTTCTCTCTATCAGCGATTTAAAAAAAAAAGTATTGGAGATTTAAACCAGGGAGTCCTAAGATACACCCTGCCCTCACTTAAAAATGTTTTTACTCGGAGGCAAGTTCTCACTAAGCTGCCTCACCTGGCCTTGAAGCTGTGACGCTGCCGCCTCAGCCTCTGGAGCTTTCTCACCTCATAGTTTTCTTCAACTCCCTCCTGCCCCAGTTGCTCAAACAGAAACCTCAGAGTCTCGCTGCCCATCTAGTCTATTACCAAAGTCTATTGATTCCACTCTAAAGCACATCTCAGATTTCCTTGTGTCCCCGCTTCCTGGAGACCCCCACATCCTTCACCGACATCCGTCACCCCAAGGCCCCTTTGGCTCTTACCCGCATGCTAGGGTGTCCTTTCAGCTTTGCTAAGGCGGAGCGTCCTCTTTTCTCACTCGGCTTTCCTTGGACACGCTTCCTCAGTCTACCACAGTCACATTCATTCTTCCTAAAACCAACGAATGAATGTAGGAACAAATAAATAATACACGATGAATTGAAGCACATTATTAAACAATCAAGCCACTTCAGCAAGTACATCTGGGTGGCTGTTACCCAGCATTAAAATTTGATTTTCAATTTCTTTGGTTCTATTTGCATCAGGTGTTTCTTAAAGAAATACACTGCCCCAGCCTACGAAAGCCCCAGGGCCACTCCCCTAATTCTAGTCTCCTCCTCCCCTTTCTGAGAATAACCCCATACCTTATTTCACACCCTTTCCCCACGCGTGTGCAGCAGCGATCCACATCCCCGCCTTGCACATTTCCTTAGCGTGGTCTGGGAGGTGGATCTGGACCGGCAGATGTGGCTTCCATGGTCACGTTCACTGTGGCATGGTGTCCGATGTCCAACTCTACTTGTTCACCTGTGATGGAGAACGGTGCCAACTGGTCTCCACTCTCCCCCCACGGAATGACTCCACTCTTCCGGCCACCAGGGGCTGCCAGGCAGCCCCGCGGGACTCCGCGGGGCTCTCACTTGTGGGCTGCCCCCCCCCCCCCCCGCCCGCCGTGGTTGGACATCAGGATGCTAAATGCGCATAGAATGCACAAATGCCCCAAACCCCAGGGCCGCTGGGAGATGGGGGGTGGTCTAATCTTCCTGTCCTCTAACTCTTTTATAAAAATTGAACGCAGTGCAAAACAAAAATTCCATCTTGAACGAAAACTTAAAAAGGTCTTCCGTTGCTAAAATGAACATCTACATATATGCTTAAAATTTGAAATACACAAAGCTAACATTTTCCTTTCACATATCTATTTGCTGTGGATGTTTCCTTTAAGATACAAAGCAGTTCTCACTGATCTTTTCCCACCCTTCCCGCTGGGAGGCAGCTGAGATCCTGAGTTTGGTGGGTGTCCAAACCAGTTATTTTTATAACGTGTAGCTCTCCACAAACAACTCATAGTCCTGTCTGTTTTTATTCTGTATTTAATATCCTGCAAGTTTCTTTCCTACCTACACAATGTTGTTTCCAAGACACATCTATATTGATGCTAATATCTCCAGTGCACTATTTTCTTACTTTCTAAAAGTATCTTTTTAGATTGTTTTCAGTTTCTGGCTATTTAAACAATTGTGCATGTATAGTCCATGAGGGTGGAATTCTTTGTCTCTTGGTTGTGCTCATTTCTTATCCCCCCGAGTTTGGTCTGGCACATTGTAGGTGCTCAGTACATATGTATGGAATAAATGAATAAATGAACAACTTCACACGTCTCTATGTTGCTCAAATGCAGAATTTGCCCATAAATATTCACATATATAACATATACATTATAGACATGAAGTCTTTATTCTCCACAGCTATTGTGCTAACTACAAATCCCCAGCACTTTGATAATTTTGCTTTCCCTTTACCTTTAGTATTTTGAGATTCGATGTCTGTTCAGCACTGCTGTATATAAAATCATATCTTATCATTGTTTTAAGTTGTGTTTGTCTAATTCTGATTTTCCTCACCTAAGATTCCTCTGGATTTCCTTGTGGCTTCCAGGTTAACAGATGAACAGAAGTGGTCAGGGCACTCTAAGGACTCCTGCACAATGCCTCACCTCTGAGGTGGTTCTGAGGGCCCCAGGTCTGAAGAACACAGTGTTACCCTCTCCTCCAGATCCCACTTTGGGTTCTGAAGGCCCTTGTTGGGGGATGGGGGCAGCTCATGAGTGCCCATGCTGGTCTGTTACTCTTTAGGTCTTCAACTGGAGAATGTCAACCAGGAGAGCCCTATGTTTGGGGACTTTGGTGTTTGCAGCTGCATTGATTCCTTCAGAGATCCTGTGTGTAACTAATGGGCAGGTTGTCTTTGGTGTCCCCCCCCCCCCCATGCCTCCACTTACAGGGAGACACAGCACCTGGTCTGGTTGGCACCTGTGCACTTGATGAGCTGACCACTATTTGGAGAAATCAAGTTTGAAGGTAAGGGGACAGATGTAATGGAGAGGGGGTGGAAGTGGGTAGGGAAGCTGAGGCAAAAGGCTTGGATAATCAGGATACTCCCTGACCGCAGGACAACAGGGAGGGATACTGCAACATTGGACTGAGCCCAGCACCAGGGATCAAGGCTCCGAGGACACTTGAATCTGACCAACTGAGATATGGCAATGGCCTGATTTAAGATGTGACACCAGTGAATCAGACAGAACAGTGGGTGTGCAGAAGCCAGTACCAGCTGCCATCTGAAAGACAGATATTTCTGGCATGTAGGGATGACACTCACTTGAGATCCTTTCCCATTTGGAAAGCATTAAAAAATCATAACTTGCAAGCCCAGAGGGTGAGCACTCTGACTTAACAACCCTTTGACTTTCTTTTGCAAAGCATTAAAGTCATTAACTTCCAGCAAGAGGGAAAAGCAGGTTCTTACTTAAACTCTTATCTTCTGGAAAGTCTTAAACCGGCAGCAGTGAGGCCTCGTTACTCTTTGACAATGTTAAATCGTAAAGCACCATACTGCTGCTAAGTAATGGGACCATTCTGTCAGGATGTAGCTTAAGAAAAATTGGCCTTAGTGACATGTCCTTTACTCAAAAACCTAGAGTGGTTTCACAGCTTGATCAGATATGGTCCTTCTGCTTTGGCTTGAGTTCCTGCGGCCCTTCACTACCTACCATGTGTTCTCTGCCGCCCACTGGGTGACATTACTTCATCTATGCCATCCATCCCCCCGTCTTTCCCTCCCCTCACTGACACCCACTCATCCTTCCCACTTCTTGCTGGACTCTGCTCCCAGCACATACTTCTGATATTTTAAATATCACCAAACATTTCTATAGCTCTTTAGGATGACCGGCCATGCCAGCCATGCCTCTTTGAAAGGTTCAACTTTCTCAGTTTCATCAGACTCACTCCTCCTACATCTTTAACACTATAGCATTGTTTAAATAGTTATGCACTGTGTATTTTCCAGTTGTATGCATCCACTTGCATTTACACTTAATAGTGTATTTGTGTCACATATTCCTCTACTGACTTATCCATCTAGTAGTTTATTTTCTTACCTTTTTTTTTCATTTTCCTGAAGACAACCAGGTATGTGACAGCACATCAGTTACTTTGTGTTTAATTGAGCATCCATGTGCCAAAAGTTGTACGAGGTGATAGAAGAAAGAGACAGATCCCTCAGACTCTGGCAGGAGAGACAGATACTAAATAACTGATGGAATCATCATAGGCAGTCAAGGATGATGCTGGGGAAGATGTGTGGAGAACTAATGGAAAACTTTCTCTGAGGAAGTGATATGTATAGTATAGTATAGTAGTCTCAAGACTACTAGGTGCTAGTATGACCTGGGATCTAGGCAAAAAACTAAGGAAGAAAGTATGCCAGGCAAAGGGAGTAATGAGTGCCCAGACTGTCACATGGAGAGAATGCACAGAATCCAGCATTGTGCAGTAAGGCTTGACTCAGTAGGCTGGGTTGCCCTGCACAATGACAGCTCCCGACATATGACTTCTGAATCCTTAGTATATCCTGCTCAATAAATATCTAAGCTCTTGGGCCAGCCAGATTGTTCATGCTAACAACATGGTCTGTGGGGAACACCTGATTTTCTATGCCCAGGATGCTTTGAGCCATGCTGTTTGAATTTGATTTCTGCTGGGGCTGGAGACTGAGTGGTTAAGGTCAGTCAGACACATACTGGATACTTACATGACTGACCCTAAATAAAAACTCTGGGCAGCAAGGTTCAGGGGCATATCCTTGACTGGCGGTATTTTGTATGTGTTGTCATACACTGTTGCTAGAATTGAGCACTACATGAAACTTTGGGAGTGGAAAAGTGGAAGCTTGTGCCTCCCTTCTAGAATCTTTCCTATGTGTCTTTCTCCTTTCCAGATTTTAGTTTGTATTATTTCATTGCAGTAAACCTCACATATAAGACTCAAACAGCTTGTATGAGTTCTAGGAGCTCTTTTTTGAATTATCCAAATGACAGTGATCTTGGGGACCCCAACACAGGTACGGGAGAGAAGAAAAAGGCTGTGGAGACAGGAGCATCTGAAATGAGGGAGGAGATGAAAGAATCGGATTCCTTAGCTCCTTATACGTCATCATCAAGAATGGCATGCTCTTGCCTCTCTGATTGACCCCAGTGTAGCTACTTTATAAAATTCTACTGTGGTCCCAGCTAGATTTCATGCAGGGTACCTAAAGAAAATATGCAAATCAAATCATTTTCTTGGGATGGAGAAGTCCATGGGCACACAAAACCTACTGGAGGAGACAGGCGGTGTAACTCATGGAGTGGCTACCCTGATTGTCATTTTCCATAGTGCCATCTTGGATTTGAGGAGAGTATATATGAGTAAAGAAGAGATGTTGTGTTTATTGTAAAAGTTGAGAGAACCATCCCAGAACTGTCTACCATACTGAAGTGTTGTATACTGAAACTTCAAACTGGAGTGACATCCCTCATTTGTTCCTTGGTCTCATGCATGGGGGTAGAATAAGTCAAGGGAAAAACAGGATGAGATTGGTTCAAGCAACTTAAGTAACTTTACAAAGCATCCAGTTGTCAAGGTTGCAAATAAGTCATCAGCTGGAGGCATGGACATGCACTGAGGTGGTGTGTGGGCGAGCATGCTGCTTTCTTGAGAGCTTGCCTTGAATGCATAATAGCTTGAGAAAGCTTTAAATGTAATGGAAGACGTGCTTATATAACTCACTTCTAAATCAGCTGGGGACTACATTTGTGATGGTGTTGGAGAGTTGAGAAGCCAGTTGGGGATGTGGATGGTGCTGCTAGCTGGTTCATTCCCCAAACAGAGCTGAGGAAGACTTGGGCAGCATATTCGGAAAGCCACGAAGTCAGAGGGCTCCAGTAATTATCCCATGAGTTCAAATGCCCACACTCTGGGGAACCCAAAATGTTGTTATATATTTTATAAGCGTAATCTCGTGGGGGAAGGCAGTGTATTGTTAGCTCCAAGTCAGAATGTTGCTTTACTCGGTGGCTTTGGGCAAGCAATTTAAAATCTCTCTGGGTCTCAGTTTGTTCATTTGTGCATTGGTTATGGAAACGGTGCTTTGTCCATAGGTTCTATTTTTGAAGACTGAATGAGGTAATGTCTGTGAAGTACTCGGCCTACTGCCTGGCATGCACTGAGGGGTCAAACAACAACAAAACCAGAAAGGGCATTACGGATTTTTAAATAAATCATCAAATGTTGTAAAAGGACCTTTTTTGGGGCTCCATGCCAGTCACATATGCCTGAGGACTGTCCTGCTGAGTGAGGACATCTGTGTGCTCTGAATTAGGTAACAGTGGACATCTTGGTTAGTTTTACTTTTCTATTGTTGTTGAGACAAAATACCTGATGCCCAACATGAAGGAAGGACAGGTTTATTTCTTACAGTTCTTGGAGGTTTCAGTCCATACTTAGCTGGCTTCAAGGTAGGATGGCATGGCAGGACAGCCATTCATGGCCACCACAAACTGCAAGAGCTAACAGAGCAAAAGAGGGGAAAGACATGCCTTCTTTCTGCCCTTGCATTGTATGCTGGCTCCACCCCTGGGTGGGTATAGCTCTCACATCACCAATCCCAGTGCTAGACAATGAACCAATCATGAATGCTAGATTCAGCCACGTTGTCATGGTTTATGTCTGTGTCCCCCAGGCCTCATGAGTTTGAATTGTGCATTTGTTCCTCCAAAAACTGAAAGAAATAAACCATTCCTTTCCCAACTTGGGCATCAGGTTTTTGTCGCAGCGACGAGCATAAAGTAACTAAGACAGAATTTGGTTCCGAGGAGTGGGGTTGTTTGCTGTGATTATACCTGACCGTGTTTTTCGAGAGGCTTTGGAAATGGCTTGTGGGCGGAGTTTGGAAAGGTTTGGACATGTTGCCTGGATGCATAGAGCTGGAGCAGCTTAGGCTGTTCTATAGAGGAGATTCTGGTCAGAGCTCAGGAGACCAGAAGGCTGATGATACAAAGCCTCATGGTAAAGACCAGGCTTGGGAGGTTTCTGCTGGGATGAAGGACTGCATTGGTCGTTGGACTCCACATGATGTGTGTTATGGCTTGGCAGAAAGTTTGTCTGCATTTTGCTCCTGCCCAGAGTCTTTGCCTGAGACTGACACAAAGGGCAATGGACTGATTAATCTTAAAAAAGAAATTAAAAAGCAATCAAATGTTGAAGTTGTGGCATGGCTATTGTTGGAGGCTTTCAGCCAGCTTTATGTTTCAAATCAAGAGCAAGGAGCCTGGCAGGATAATGTACAATGCTGTGAGTTTGGCCAGAAGGATAATTCCAGGAAGGCTGTGGATTGTAAAGACAGAGTTGAGATTTTGATTCCTGAGGAGAAACAGTGAGATAAGAAAGATGGCCCCAGGACATCCCAGGAGGCAGGTCCCCACCCTGTGCAGCCTCACAGCAAAGGTGAAAAAATGTGCTCAGAGGAAAAGCTGCAGAGCGCCATGTTCCAGAATGTCGACAGCGACCATATGAGGTTCCAGAATGGCGGCAACATAGAGAAGCTTTTTCTCACAATCAGGTAAACAGAGCCCTGCGATCCAGGCAACTGACCGCTACAGCCAAGAGAGAGAAAAGCCTGGCTACTGCTTCAGCTGGCAGCAGACCTTGGCGGCATCCATAAGGTGCTGATTTTAGGTGCAAGGAAAATGCACAAATTCTGAGGGTAAGACAGCTTCCACCTCGATTGCAAAGGGCCTGGCTGGCCAAGCAGTGTGCCCCTGAGAGGGCAATTTGTGAAGATGCAAGAGTGAAGCCTAAGGTGCAGTGGAGACCCCAGAAGTTTGGAAAAGCCAGGAACGTGGATGATCCAAGGAAAGCTGCAAAAAGCAAACAGAGGGGCTGGGGATTTAGCTCAGCTGCATAAGCGCCTGCCTTGCAAGCAGGCAGTCATGAGTTTGATCCCTGGTACCCATAAAAAGGAAAAAGATAAAAAAAAAAAGTAAGCAGATAGGATTTAAGAGAAAAGCTGCGGGAGTTGAAATCACTGGAAGTGCTGTGGGATGGAATCACCTAAGCCTTTTGGAGCTTGCAACCAGATTGCTTCAGATGTTGAGCATGGAACTCTAGGACTTAATGTTTGTCCTGCTGGATTTGGACTTGCTTTGTTTCCAATGCTTTATATTCCCGTTTGTAACTTTTGGAATGGTAATGTTTATCTTGTGTCTTGCATTTCAGAAATGTTTAACCTTGTTTCATTTGTAAAGGGTTACAGTTAAGAGTTTGCCATAGATCTTGGAGGAGACTTGGGACTTGGACTACTCAGCAATGCTGAAACTTAGGACTTTGGCAACTCTTGGAGGTGGACTAAATATCTTTTGTATAAAGGATGTACATGAGTCCTGGGGGCCAGGGGTGGAATGTCATGGTTTATGACTGTGTCCCCCAGGCTTCATGAGTTTGAACTGTGCATTTGTTATTCATTCATTGTCTAGTGCTTGGATTGATGGTGTCAGTGCTCCACCCACATAGGGGTGGAGCCAGGATGTGATGTAATGGCAGGAAGAAGGTGTGTCTTGCTCTTTGGCGGTTCCAGCTTGCTGTTTGCAGCCACCATGAACGGCAGCCCAGCCATGCCCGCCTGCCTTGGAGCCAACTGAGTGTGTACTGAAACCTCCAAAAACTGAACAAAATAAACCTTTCCTTTCCCAACTTGGGCATCAGGTATTTTGTCGCAGTGACAAGCATAAAGTAACTAAGACACACATCCATGATTGCATGAGGCTTGGTGGGGGAGGCACCTAGACACAAAGCATAACAGTAGATGTGACAGGACCACACTGATGAGAGTTCACTGTTTTGGCCTTCAGGGACCAAGTTGTATGTTTAAGAGCTGCACATTGCCTTCAGCATCAGGTACAGTACAGAACAGCGTTGTTTTCTGACCTCCTATCAATATGAAGAGATGAGTTCCTAGAGGGCATGTGTGTAAGATGGGTCCTATACTCAGCTCTGATAATGCAGATAGTCCCTTCTGCATCTCTGGAGCCATAGAAAGTCTGAGCAGGTGCATGTTTGCTCAAAGAAGTAAGAGCTCTGGGTTCAAGAGATAACTTTGGTTTTGCCCCAGCTTCTTCAATAAAAGAATGATTTCTGGTATGTTATTCATCTTTCTAACTCTTTGCTCCCTTATCTATAAAAAGAAAGAAATACTTTGCTACCCAAATTTTAAAGCATAAAACAATACAAACCAACATATGAGGTATAATCAACAACTGTATTTAAAAATTATTACAGTAAAAGGCACATTGCCATTAATTTCCTTCAATAACCCTCATGTCCAACACATGTATCCCATCATGCTTGCCAGTCTCAGAAGCAGCTGTAAAAATCCTCTCAAGAATGTCTTTAGTTGTGCTGTTTAATGTCTTAAACTGGTTGAAAACATTTATCTTTCATGGTTGTTTTGACTTTTGGCAAGAGCCTGAAGTTGCACTGTACCAATGTGACAGCATGTACCATCCATGAACACATGGATGAGGACATGCTGTCATATTTTTATGAGCCTGCCTTTTGGCTGGATGGCATCTGGCATCAGCATTCATCTTATTTTTGATCACAACCTTGTAGACACACAAAAGATGACATGCAGAGTTGCTTCAGAAAGTGGCAAGAAGGATGGGAGAAATGTATTTAAAGCAAGGGGCTGTATTTTGACTGGGTTAATGGCAATGTGTCTCTTACTATGATAAGTCTTTTAAAAATTTTAAACATTCACCATATGTTTTAATCACGCCTTGTATGTAAATCCAACCACATGGTAAGCACTTAATACATAATGGTAATAGAATTGTATAAGCAAGCACACGACAGATGCAGATAGCGGAAGTTTTGACTTGAAGCCTGGAAAATGAATGCAGTTTGTTCTGGGAAAGGGTTTATGGTTTGGATCAATTTCCCACCCAGGTAACATGCTCATCGTCACCCTGGGGAGAGCTGATTTTGGGATCAGTGGGTGGGGCAAGCAGGAGAATACACACAAGGAACAGACCTTGACAGCCTGGGGGGAGCTCAGTGATGAGCCCCTTGTGGACAGGATCCCTTCATGCTATGAGTGGTCATAAAGGTGCTGGCTGAGGCTAGTTCCAAGGGAGGTGTGGGGCTCTTTCTACAGTGGGAAGCCGTGTGCTAGGGCACACAGCCTGTCTGCCATGGAACCTACAAGCCAGAGAGCACAAGGACCCAGGAAGAATATCCCTCCGGGTACATCAACGTGGGAGAACCAGGCTAGGGGAGAATCTTCTCAAAGAGTATGGCTGGTTCTCTTCCCAGCCTGAGTCCAGTTATTTCTAAACTGAACACTTTTCTGGGAGAGGAACCCAAGAGGTGATTAGTGAAAACCCCAGATGATGTGATTAGTGGATAAGAAAGCCTCTGTTCAGCACAGAGCCCTGATCATGTACTAGAGTAGACACACATGGGAATTTAGAAACACAGGCCTGGAAGAAATTGTTGCTGGAGCTATGCTCATCAGCAACTCATTGAAAGGAGAACACTTGTGGATACAGAAAGTTAGGGATGTCTCCTGCCATCTTGGAAACCTAGTCTGGGAAGGTTGAACGACTGGGGGTGCCTACCAGAGACAGATTAAAAGGTAAATGGATCAGAGCTGGGCTTTCTCTCTACTAAGATGTGTGCACACCCGTCTGTTCCCTTCTCTACTCTCACAGGAAATGACATCTGATGATGGCAGCTGCTGCTTGTTGGTCAGATGCAGTGGTTCTCAATTGGAACACATTTTGTTCACCACAAGTGATATGTGGCACTGCTTAGAGGTATCTTTGGTTGTCACAACTGGGGGTAGTGTGTGTGTGTGTGTGGTACAGGCATCTTATGGGGTTCTGGGAAACACCCTGCAGTGCACAGGACAGCCCCAAATGTCAGGAGTACTAAGGCTGGGAAACCTCGTCTGGCATAGTGCAAAGATGCCTTTTCAATGGAGGATATTTGTTGTGCACACCTGCTGTCCCAGTCTGGGACAGAATGGGAAAAGGTCACAGTTATTCTGTTACTCTTCATGCATGGGCAAATACAGAAGGGATAATGAGAAGGCAAAGATTTGAGGTGGGGGAGAGGGAGCAGGGATGAACCCATTTGGACCAGTGTTTCAAGGTAGATGGAAACATAAGGGCAGAGCTTTTCATTTCAAGTCAACTCTTACTTATTTAAAAAGCGATTTCCTTAAGCACATAATTATATGTTTATTTCCCTAAGGAACTCTTGAGGCAGAGGAGACTTGCTTAAATTATGGGAAGGGAGGCTGCACAGAGGGCTTTAATGGGGTTAGAAAAATTTTCTGTTCCTTCAAAGGAGATTTGGGAAGAAAGAAAGGGCAGATTCTGCTCCTGCAGTGCAGAGGATGTCAGGAGATGGAGCAGGAGAACTGAGAGGCAAAAAAGATGAGAATCGGCTGTATGACTCCAGCAGGTCAGGACTGTGTGCAGACATAAACTTGGGGTACAGTTTCAAATCTGCCACCTGTCTCCCTATCATTGCTAGCCCTCAGAATGAAGCTCAGAAGGGAGCTGTTCACACCATACTTCTTCCACTTGAAAGTATGGGTAAGCACACACCAAGGTACACACACACACACACACACACACACACACACAACACACATGCACAGTTCTTTGGGAGATGCTCAAGACACAGGCTGGGGCATGCTGTCGGGGTAGAAGTGGTGGGGTAATTAAGGTGGCTGGAGCTTCTGGTGAGAAGTGGGAAACGGTTGCATTCAGTGAGTTTGCTCTTTGTGCTTTTTCTCAATTTTCAGTTGCAGCCTGGCTGCTTAGAATTGTGGTTTTCTTCGCTTTAGGACCTGCCCTCACCTGGAAAGAACGGGTAGGAAATGAAGAAAGGGTGAAGAGATTGCTTCTTCAGATTCAACACAGAGAAGAAAATGTGGTGGCGATGGGGGGGGGGTGATCTTAATAGCATCTCAGATTGTTGATGCGTTAGGTGGTAGATCTTTTGTGTAAGGGTTAGTTGGATGACCGAGTTGGGTGGTGGTGGAAGGGAGAAAGTGCTGAAGAATGGGTGGCTCAGGCCTGGCTTTGGCCTAGGCTACAAGAGATAGTGTCTACAGGGGAGTCTTGACTCTTTCTTGCCCTATGTGTCCCTGTATTTGGAACCACGGACATAGTTTCTAACATTCATTACGTGTGACTGGACTCTGTATCCATGCTCTCAAGAGCTATGAGCGTCTAAGGGCAAGAATTTTATCATATTCTACTGGGCAGTCTTCATATCTAACAGCCTGGTACATACAGACACTCTATATGTATTGCAGGGTGAATTCTACCGTATTCAGCCCAACCTGCAGCAATTCAGGCTGATGTCAGAGTGAAAAGTCCATTTGGTTTCTGTACGCCATCTGCCCCATCTCTCACAAGCTGAAAGAGATAACATCTGAGAAACATGGCCAAGGTTCCTCACCTTAGAGCTTTTATTTATCAAATATCTACTCTGCATAATCACACAGACCATTTCATTTCCAACATTCCTTGGTCTGAAGATGGGCTGGAGGTTCAGAGGCTAGCAGGAGATAGTAGGAGATGCCCACTCTGGAGGGATGGAGCTGATGGTCATCTGTGAACCTGACATCCAGGATGTCTCTGCATTGAGACGGGCAGGGGTGACACACATGGAGCAGGGGGGCCTGCTCCAACAGAGATGGGCTGCATCAACAGAGATCTGTTGGCCTGGGATGCTGGGATTTGCATCCTTTTCATTGACCAGGCCCCCAGAAACCCTATCAAGCATCATCAGGGAATAGATGCAGAGTTTCAAAACCTTCAAGAAGCATTGCAGTCCTGGACCTGATGGTCCACTTTCTAGATGTGACCTTAGCAGCAACCTCAAAGAACAGGGCTGGTCTTTCTTTCCCTATAGCACAGGGTAGTACGAAGTGGGAGTGCTTTGTAAAGTGCTGTGCAGCATGAGCTGGCTCTTTTATTTATTTAAGGAAGCAGCATTGGAAACCCCTTTTCCCCACTTCAGTGGGACCCCAGGCATCCTGTCAATCAGGACCCACCTGCAAGTTCAGCGGAAGCCAGTGGGAGCTGGAGAGCTTAAAGCTTGAGTCCACTTCCCTTGAGTCCATGCACGCAGGGGAGTGGGGGCCTGGCAGAGGCTGCTGAGGCTCCTTATTTAGTTCGTTGGTAGAACTGGAAGACTGCTTTCTCCTGCTCATAGGTCTCAATGGAGCCGGGTCGAAGGCGCCGAATTTCAGCAATGGCGTCTCCTGCGGCCAGGCCTCGCTCCTTCACCAGGTAGCAGGCCAGCATGGTGCCGGTGCGGCCGAATCCCAGGGCACAGTGCACTGCCACAGCCTGTGAAGAGGAAGCGTGGTGGTGTGGGGCTTCCCCAACACTCTTCTGCTCCATCTGGGCAGGATTCCTGTTCCCAAGTCTGAGACCCTCAGAGGACAAGTACCACCAAAGCGGTCCAGACCTGAACTGCCTTCCCAGATCTACCTTCACTGTTCTACACAGAAGCCACTAGACCTGGATGGCTACTGAGGACTTGAAATGTGGCCAGTCCAAATTGAGATGGGTGGTGAAATATACACTGAGGTTTGAAGATGCGGCATGAAGGAAAATGAAAATAGTTTATTCAGCATTTATTATAAATTGGGCAATTGCAGAATTCTGGAAGGCTGAGGCAAGAGTAAGTTTGAGCCCAGTCTGTTAAAAAAAAAAATGCTGGGATATAGCTCACTGTAAAGCTCCTCAGTTCAGTCTCCACTAAAACACACACACACACACACACACACACACACACGCACAAAGCATTTGTTTTACACTGATTACATGCCGAAAGGACAATATTTTTGACTTACTGAACTATTTCCAAAATTAATTTCACCACTTTTGAAAAATATTGTGGTTGCTAGAAAATTTAAAATTCCAGATGTGTCTCCGTTATATTTGCACAGCACTGCTCTAGAAAACGGTACACCATCTCCTTTTGGTTTTAACTCCATCTCTCCCAAATCTGTCCACCCCTTTCTCTTTCTTCCCCTCGCCACGCCTGCTGGGCTTTCCTGCCGCCTCCCGCCTAGGCTGGCTCACCCAGCCGCACCCCTTTTCCCGTCTCCAATTCGGGCTACTCTTGCCCCGCACCGGCTGGTCATGCGCTCGCCCCGCGCTTCTACCCCAGGTTGCATCCCCGGCTCGCTGACCTCTCCCCGGGCGTTGGCCTCGTCCACTATCTTCACGAAGCGGTCGATCTGGTCCGGGGCCGGCGAGCAGAAGTCCGGGATGCGCAGTCGGTGCAGAGTGAGGCCCGGACAGCTGTCGGCGTGCGGGGGCCCGCGCTCGGTCAGGGACACCAGGTGTCGCACTCCAAGGTCCAGCAGGAACTGGTAGTGCGCGGGCAGCCGAGGCAGCGCCAGCCCCGCCAACCGGCCGGGGAGCACCCAGGAGAAGTTGGGGGGCTGCACACCCATTGCTGGGGGAGGGCACCAGGCCGGGGTCACCGGGGGAGTCCGGTCCTTCCGGCACCGCCCCGTTGTTCGCCCGCTCTCGGGGCGGGGTAACCGACCCCCTGCCTGCACTGGCGCCTCCCGGTCACGTGGTCCACGGTGCACCGCCCTCGGGTGACGTTCGTCCCTGCAGCCGGGGGATTGGTTGAGCCTCGGGGGCGTGGCCTGTGGGACCACGCCCCGGGGATGGACGGACAGTCTCGCTGCCTCCCGCAGCAGCGGGACCCCGGGGACTGGCCGGAGGACTGGGAGCTGTGGGATTCCCGCAGCTTTGCGCAACTTTGACAAGAAAGAAGAAAACTTGGTGCACTGTTTTCTGTAGACGGAGCAATCCTGGCTCAGGCTCTGCTGCTCCCTAGTGGTGCGCTGGACCTCCCCATGGGACTGGCCTCGACTTACCTTCTTTGCAGTGGGTACACACAGGGTTTAAGAGAAGATAAGCCTACCTCCATTCATGAGAAGAAATCGCTTTTCCAGTGACTGACCAGTCGTTATCAGGGACCTCTTGATCTCTTTCAGTAAGAAAATTACTACCTCAGAAGTGGCTGTTTCTTTATTGCTAGAACTGTTAAAAAATATTGAACTGCCATGTGGCACCCTAAACTCTTACCTGGGATGTTATAGTAGCAACTCATAACATAAGGGCATTTATTGAGCATTTACTATGTGCCAAATAATCTTTTAAGCACTTTACATGTATTAACTTCATTAGTCGATACAATCATCTTATGAGATAAGTGAATCAATTCACTCCATTGTACAGATGAGAAAATTGAGGCCATTGAGGGGTTAAGGAAGGTGACTGTTGGCTCCAGAATCTTTTACAGCATACTGTTTTTCCTACAGTGAAACAGAAAATTACATTCTCTTCACATGAACGCCCCCACTCCCATAAATATCATCTAGTTGAAACACAGATTTCTTTACTTTAAAAAAAAGTTTCATATGTCGTTGTGATATTTGACAATTTCCAGGCCTTCTTGGTCACCGTGTCCCCGGAAGTCTGGAGTTTATCAGTGTTGTTCTTCTAAGGCAGAAACCTAAATCTGAACACAGACTCTCAGCTGGGATCGAAAAGTCCATGTCTTCATTGTAGGTATGCAGCCTGCCTGTACCTGTGAAAACAGTTAATCCTTTTTGAATTTGTTCACAGACCAGGCCCTTGGCCAGATGCTTTCCGGAAGACACACACATGGAAGATATTTTGTATGATTTTTGTACCTTAGTACCTCCAGGCTTAAAAAAGTTGATGATCCTGGCCAAGGACACATTGATCCAGGCAGAAGGCACTTGGTCATAAGATGGGCTCCTCTCTCCTTCCATGCCTGCCCCCTGCCACACACATCGTGCTACTGAGTTTTCTGGCTCCAGCAAAATGAAAAAGATCAGTGGAAAACACACTCTGTGTACCAGGACAATTGCTCTTCCAGGTTCCAAGAGCAACCAAATCTCCCCTTCTGTCCCCTTTTCACAGGCCCTGATTAAGCCCTTCCTGTGGACACTCCCATTTCCCACTTACCCTCCGCAATCTTTTCAGCGAGCCCCACCCACTCCTCCTGCTTCTCAGCTGTGACTTCTCAGTCCCCTGATACACCCCACTCCTCTTTTCTCCATCCGAGTGCTCCTCAGAGTTTCTAGTTGCACTGCTCTGGAGATGAGGTTGCAGACCTTGTTAATCATTTCTTAGTCCCCTGGCCTTGCTCTCTTTCGTTTCTTTTACTCCTTAGGTAAAAACTTCCCTCGTATCCCCCTTCCCTATCAAGGAGGGAGGCCTCCTTGAAATTCAAGTGAAAGCCTATCTTCTCAAACAAAGAAAAAAACAACAATTTCTGGGGGAGAGACAGGGATTCTTTTCTTCCCTGTACCACCAAATGGTACTTTTTCCCCCTTGAAGTTGGGTCTCTGTAGGGCTAGACTACACCTGCAAGGCCTCCCTGTGGAAAGGCCAGTTGGTTTCCTTTCTAAGAATTCTTTCCCCTTCCTCACTATTCTGGTCTTTCCAACAGAAACTGGGTGGAAATTGCCTGAGTTATATCCCATTGTGAAGGGATATAACTCATATAAACTCATAAGTTTCTGTGTTGGCCCAGGGAGTCTCAAACCATAAGGAAAAGCCCTCTCTGATAGTTTCCTGGCTTGGACCCCTGAAACCAACAGGGCCAGCCTGTTTTCCTCCAGATTAGTGCCAACCTTCTTATCCTTCTTCTTTGTACAGGGCTGTCAGACCCTCAGGAACATTTAGCCTCTGTACTCTATCATCTTTTGTAAATTTATCCTTAGGGGTGGCAGCTGCTTCACTGAACCACTGTTTATTCAAGAGCCAAGACTGCCTCACTTCATCTTTCGGTTCCCCACTTTTAATTTGGAATGTGATACACGGTGCTCAAAAATGTTAAGTAAATGAATGGAGAATAAGCACGTAAGTAGAATGCACTAGGGAGACTGAATATACATTTATGGGAGTGACTGTGAGTCCCTAGGAAAACGTGGCTTTGCACTGTGGTTCTTTTTGATTTCTTGAGTTGCAGGGCTGTGTTGAATAGTGTATAGTATTTCTTTGAGATATACTTTATACATGTTTCTGCTTTTAAGGAAATGACGACTATATCAGTATAATTCTAGTTAAGTCCTATTAGTGTTTTTTTGTAAAAAGGGGTAAATAAACCTTGTTCATTAATGAGCTCTGTGCCCATGCTGTGAATGTGTGTGATAGCAGGTGTGTGTGTGTGTGTGTGTGTGTGTGTGTTGGGGGACATATTTCTGTTGTCACTGATGGTGCAATGAGTAATAAGCTTAAGTAATTTGCCTGACTTCAAGGAGTTTGCAACATACTTGGGGGGAATTTAGGCTTAGATATAATTATTCCCAGAACATGTAATAATGTTCTAAATTGCTCATCAAAGCAATTGTCATTATCTGGCAATCAGATAATATATATTAAAAAGCTAATTGTGCAGCAAAAATAACAAGCATGAAAGAAGTCAGTAGGGAGAATGATGAGGTTGGGTTGCAACCATCAGAAGCCTTCCAAAGATAGGATCTGGTTTCTTCTCATTTTGTTCTCTGTCCACTGGAAAACTCAGCAAAGAGATTCAGGGCATCCTTGCTTCCTCTTTCCTGGCTTACCAGAATATTTGACATCATTCGTATTCATGTTGAGATCCTAGTTCCCCAGTTGGCTTCATGCTAGTGGGAAGTAGGGGTAAAGTTAGGCTCAGAGAATCCCTTCTTCCAGGTGGGTCACTGTGTCCCAGCAAGCTAAAGGATTGCTAGCATTTGGGTTTCTGTGGACCTTGGACTGCAGTCATGATTCTCAGTGCCTTACATGTTTTGATTTTTCTATGTGTGTATGGATTTTACACCTGGAACCCAAAGATCTGGACACCTGTTTAAGAAGAAGGAAGGGGTCATAGTAATTTGTAAAATGACCTCCAAAGAGCATCTCATGCCTTGGGTAGTTAGGTCCTATTCCACACTGATAGGGTCAGTTTCTGTACCTGTATGTTTATTGTGGAAGTGATATTGCATGAATACTAGACTGTGTCATCAAAGATGTGGTTTTTGCCTTGTTTTGTGGTGGGAAGAGCTGCCATGGGAATCTCTCAGGGAGAAGCAGGCAGCCTTCTAGTGAGGACATGGGGAGCTCCATGCAGGGAGGAGCTAAAGCTTCTGTGGTTGTGTAAGTCAGCCAGCTGGTTTGGAAGTATATTCTTTGGCCCCATCAAGATTTTAGACAATTTTTACATCTTGATTGTAGTATCATGGAGTCCCTAAGCAAGGACCACTCAGCTAAAGCTCTCCTGCATTTCCTTACTCAAACTGTAAAGTAATAAATACTTATTATTTTATACAGTGAGATTTGGGGTAGTTTGTTGTGAAACAATATGTAACAAATACAGATGGAAATATTCAGTTTGGATAAAAGAGAAATTGCAATAAACTGAGGAGTGAAATAATCCAAAAAAGGTTATTAAAAAATAGTCATAAGCAACTGTGGACTCTGTGTGTGTGTGTGTGTGTGTGTGTGTGTGTGCTGTGATAGTGAAAAATTTCCACATCCAGGAAATCATTCAGTGTAGGGGAGCCAACCAGAGTAGTTTGGGAACTGGTTTTGGATGTCTACAAGCCTTTAATGGTAAAGGCTTACGTGATATTTGTGTGGTTAGAGATGATATAGAAATCACTTAAAAAATGGTCATCACACAGGAAATAAGCAGTCAGAACATAGCGTCCACCAGTCAGAGCTGGTTAACCTCGTTCAAAGCACAGTGAAGCTACTCTGGTGCCTAGTGGATGTGGGTCAGCCTTGGGTCTTCTGAAATGGCCTGGGTGTGGCCAGATCACCTTGGACATTTTAATATAGGTCTTTCCACAAGATGGCACTGATAGCTTTTCCTTGTTTCTTTTTTTTTTTTTTGTCTTGTTGAAAGATGTGTGATTTGTATACTGCTGCAAAACATTCTACAAGTAAAAATTCACAATTTACTGATGACTTTACTTTCAGTAATCTCACCTTTATAGTCCTTACAATTATACTTTTCTTTTTAGATCATTATAGGGAGGCATCGAGAAACTTTTAAGCTGGGGGATGATGCCTTACATCTTATGTTATTATTTTGGGAGCTGAAGATAAGGGCGGAGTTTGAAATGAGGCTTCAACTCCTGGAAAGCTATTCAACAAAGACAGATGAGAGCAGAATTAAGGTAGAGCACTCAGTTGTCTAAGAGCCATTTTTTTGTCATGGGAATCATTTTGGTGGACTGTCCCACTTTCACTTTCATGCTACCTTGAAGCCAGATGGGTCCAACCAGCCACGCTTTGACTGGAGCCTGTGGAGACCCCAAGCAAAGGGCCCAACTAACCTGAAACTGAGCTTCTGACAAATACAATTGTGACATAATAGATGGATTGTTTTTAGTCACTAAATTATAGCAATTTGTTATGCAGCAATAGAACATTTTCTAGATGCTATTATTTACTTATTTCTTATCCTTAATATGCTGGATACACTGCTAGGCCCTTCATTGCCATATTATATCTTGTGTCTTCACTATGTTTTATGTCTTTTAATCTTCAAAGCTACAGATCACTTAAGTCCATTTCTCAATGCAAATATAAAAATTGCAGTGAATCACTGATGCCTAGCAGTTGTCAGCATCTAGGTTCCTTTAGACATCTTCCCAAACTCCTATCTAGTTATCCAATCTCCTTTCTACTAGTGCTTTTCAAGGTGTGATTGACAATTGGCATCATATGGGAGCCAGTGAAAATCTAAGCTCTCAGCTCGAGCCTACAGTAGGATCTCCAGATGGTTGATTGCACACCTATGCCTAAGTCACCCCTTTGTGACACTGGCTTATCCTGCAGCTGTTAACCCTTCTTCTCGATAGTCATCAGTAGCCCCTCCAAGCATGGCCTGGGGGTGCACACTGGTTAGAAACTCTAGTAGTCCCAGATTAGACAATGCATTGGCTTTATCCACGTTAGAAAAATGTCCAAGAAAAATATGTGTAAATGTACATGTGCCTTTCCTGTTTTTGTTCTGAGGATGGGCTTGGTTCCTAAATTTCCTTTCTGGAGGAATGCTTGTAATATCACTCCCTACTCTTTCCAACTTCTAACTCTATTCCAAGCATGGCAGGAACTGCCTTTGTTATTATCCCCGGAGTTAAATGCCTCCATCCTCCCTGCAGTTTTGAGGAAAAGGGAGGGACGACTTCCTGCCTCATCACCCTCTCCTTCCTGCTCAGTAGCACACCTTCCCCTCACTCAAGTGCCATCCTTCCAGAGCCTCTCTGGAACTCATCACTTCCATGGATCTCTGACTGGCCTCCTGTGTTTCAGCCTCTGTGCATTTTCCTCCCTGTGCAACCCTGGCAGCTTCACAGAACACAGGTCTTACTATTCTAGTTCTTTTGTAACTCCTTATTTCCTTCAAGAGCAAACGCTCAGCATTTACAACATATAAAGTCCTCCAGGATGAGGCCTCTTTTTCTATTCAGCCATCCCATCTCATTCCTTTGCGATGCATGTTTGTTCCCATCACACTGAGGTGTGTACATTTGCAGAGCTGGCTGCCTCATCTGCCTTTGCCAGGCTGTGCCTTCTCTGCCTGGCTCTTACCTGTAGCCTGCAGCAACACCTTGTCTCCCTCAAGGTTTAATCTGGGAACAAACTGCCTTTTCTGGGAACCTTCTCTGTTTCTTATGATTCATACTTTCTGCTCCTCTTCTGAGCTTTCATAGCTTCTCTATCAGTACATTGATTCTATTGCATATTTCAATCATTTGAATTTCTTATTGTTGTATTGTACAAATAATATATTTATTGGGGGCAGCATTGAAATACATATACAGAAAAGAAAAACAGACACAATGATTACCTGTTACTTGTTTTGTTACAGGGTGTTCAGTTACGAAAAGAGCAGCCATTCTTTG